TCTATTTTCTTTTGTTTTATGCATGCAAATGTTTGTGTTTTGGGATCCTTGAATTATCATTTTTTTTTTATAACTTCCAAAAAAAAAATAGATTTCCAGTTTAACGTTGACAAGTTATTAACCCCCAATTATTCCCCAAAAGAGCTCTTTAGAGGATAGGAGGATTTCTGATCGAAACATAACCTAGGCAATCTATTTAGGAATTTATTCTCGTGCTACTTTGAATGATCACCTATGATTGTGATATAATTTACCCAAAACCCAAACATATATTGATGTATTGGTCACAAGACCTATCGTTTTAATTTTTTCACTGGCGATTCGCCTTTGAATTTGATATATGGAAGAAAAACTCCGTGTATTCTTAATTGATTTTTTATGTAAAAGATTTTATTTATTTTGTTCAAACCATATTAGACCTTTTTTTTTTGTTAAACGTATTTTTTTATTTAAATTTCTTTTGTGTTAAAATTAGTATAATTAGTATTAGTGAATATGATTTAAATATAAGGATTTTTGATCGAAATGATAAGGTGTTGGTAATTTAAAAATGGAGGATTGAAGACGAGGTAAGTGATGTGATGTGGGCGGGTTGTGGGATCACATAAGGAAAGACAAGGAAGATTGTGATCAAGGTTGGGTGGGCAGAATATTGGCCATCAGGTGTTGGTTTCCATAATGCAGTGAAGTATTTGGTTGTAAGTGTTTTTGAATGTTTGCTAGAGAAAAAAAAACTTGTTGCGTGCCTCATTTAGGACAGAAGGGTTGGGACTACACCCTGTAGAAAAAGACGGCTCAGTTAGTCGGAGTCATTATGCATCTGTCCGCAGTCCAAACAGAGGTGCACGTAACAAGTAATTACTTCATAATTAGGGGTCGAACAACGAATGAGAGAGCGAACGACGCTCGTCTGTACATGGCATAAGGGATCCGGAACCTGCAAGAATATTCCAATAACTGAACTGATTCGATTATTTCTTTAGAAAAATCGAAAGTTGTTCCATTTTTTAGGAATTAGAACAAACCACAAAGATGTTCTTCAGTGTGTAACATATAGAAATATTCATCAGAGACACCACGGCACATTCCCATTCTCAAAAACTGATAAAATTTTATAAAGCAACATTTAATTTTGGTAGGTAATTGGTAATTCTCTCCAATGAGAACAAATTCCGCAAAATAACATGAAACATTTTTGTAGGGATATTTTTCACCAAATGATAATTTCAAATATCAAATTACATGAAATTCCAAAGAAAAACGCGTCCAAAATTCTTAAAATATGGTGTCCGGGAATATCACATCATTTATTTATATTCTTCTCATCGGATCTTGAATTCAAAGTAGTACCAAAATATTATGAATATACATATTATTCTGCTGTTACTCCTGACATTTTGGAAAGTGCTTTTCTGTTCGTAGGCAGCAAATTATTATTGGTCGGAAGGACAACCTCTGAGATTAAGTATTGGCTTTCTTTGTGAGATTTGTCCTAGAGGTTGTATCTTCATAATCCAAGTGAAGCTAACGGGAGAGGTTTTTACTGAAATCGTAATAAGTCGTAACGGGTAATACGGAGAACCAATATATTAAAAAGAAACAATTTTAGATCACATATCCTTCACTTCGCAATCTGGGTTTAGGCATGATCGAAGCACAACATATCTAGTTGTAATGCCATGTACAGACGGGCGTTGTTCGCTCTCTCATTCGTTGTTCGACCCTTAATTATGAAGTAATTACTTAGTTCCCCATACAAAATTTTCTGAGCGAACACCTACTTTTGTACGTTGTTCAAGTCGAATTACTCTCTGAATAACCAAGAAATTTGTCCCATCCCTAACAATTGAGAGCATTTATCGAAAATAAATTAATTTTGACAGCTTGAAAATATTTATAAAATTTTCAAACTTTTTTAGTAAAATTGAAAATGATGAATGAAAAGTAAAAAATTGTCTAGTTTTTATATATGCAGCAGGATGTAAATTTTGTTATCAACATAATGCAATATGAATTTCTTTCCCCTTGGTTTTAATTAGCGTACAAAACAAGAAACAATTTTGGGGAAACACAAACAAAAAATTCTCCGAATAAAATAAAAATGTATGAAAACAACATTATTTTCAGAAAAATGGAAAACATGAATTAAAAGTAAATAGATATTGGACTATACTATAGTCAGGAGAAAGAGAATAAATTTTTCTATTTAGATCCATATGTGATTCGTGCAAATATGTTAGAATTTTGGTGTAAAACAAGAAACAAAAAGTTTGAAATAAAAAACTCTGATGACATGAATTAAGAATAGTGTTGTATGAACGGGTTAATTCATATACGTAATTCTGAGAGCGAACTACGTTGTTCAGAACATGGCATAAGTCTTACTGACAAGATTCGTCATATTACAAGTGATCGTGGTTGCTGTGTTTTTCAGTCTATTGGTTTGAAGAAAGCTATTGACAGGATTGATCACGAACTGCTAGTCTTTAAGCTTTGTAATTATTTCGGGTTTTCTATTACAACATTGTTGGTCCGTTATTGTTCACTTTGTTTATAAATGATTTTTTTGTTGCAATGCCTTCTGATAATTGTCTGCTTTTTGCCGATGACGTTCAGTTGTTAATGAAGTGTGATGCTGCTTTACCGAATGTGATGCAAAATGTTGTAAATCATGCCAGTTTAACGGTGGGAGATTGGATTATGAAAAATAGATATAATTTGAGGTTCCTTCCTACGAGGCAGTACAGTTGGAAGTTAGCATCTCGAACATTTTTAAGAATATATTCAGGGAAAGGAAAGATTAAAACGAACTTCAATATACTTGGCAGTTTTGTGAGCTGAACTTTATAGACGTTCCGAATAATGGGTTTGGATTTGAACTCCGGTTCCTACGAAATCTCAATTGTTATCCGTCGCCTTAGTGTCCAAAACCATCCATTTAAACTGCGAATAACTTCGTTATAAATACGAAACGCGTTGATTTCCTTTTTAATGCAACTTCCATCATGTAACTCATCTTATGGGTGAAAATGGAGAATATTTGTGGAATTGATTTTACCAAGAACTTTTGTAGTGGACGACAAAAAAGTCTACAAAATTGCGATCGTTAGATCAAAACATTAAACGGTACCTTTGTACCAAAAACTCCACACCAAGACATGGGATAGATGTCTAAAAAAATTCGAACATTTTTCCCACAATCGCCAAAGTTATAATATAAATTATTAACAATTTCCTATATTTTATTTAATATTGGAATACAATTATCACTTTATTAAGCATTACTAATTTCTATGTGAAATTTACAAGCCGGTATACTTTGAACTTCTGCTGTAACGCTACTATTTATGCCCAGATTGCTTAATGCTCCACGTACCAAACCACAAGTAAATGCAACAAACTGAAATAAATGAAATTAAAAAAAAAAAAACAATTGATATATTTTTTAGTAAAAATAGAGCTGGTATAGCTTAGACTGGCCAACAATCCGCAATGCCAAGAAACTTACCTTTGGTGCATGTTCCAGCTGTTTTTCACCTGGTGTAATACGTGTCAGAAAACGAAACGCCTTATCCTGTACAACATAGATACCCTGATTGTTGGTACGTAAATTATCTACTTGTTTTTTGTAAATTGAAGTCCAGAAGTCTGTACAAATGAATTTTATGGTTTCCAGTTCATCTTTGAAACGGGAAACATCTCGTGTCATACGTTCGATGAGACGATAACCAGTAGTGAATCCAATATATTCCAGTGTAGAAAAATCATTCTCCTAGAATAGCAATAAACACAAATAAAATGGGAATCCGATGCGTAACGATTTCTCCTTTACCTTATTTCCTTCCAAACAGTAATTTACAATTTCCGCATGCAGACAATCAAATACAATTTCTTCGGACATTGTGAATTGAATTATTTCTTCAATAATAGTTTTGGTTTTTTTGTAAATAAATAAATTCTACATTAGCAAATAACTCCCCGACGAATTTGTAATGCAAAATGAAATATGACGAATGGGTGGATGAAAGAAATACAAAACCAAAACAATGCTTCTTCATATTTTGATGTTTTCAGGAAAAAGTTGGCATGCAATGTACATTGATAGCAATATCATTCTGCAACTTTTCAACACTAATATTTTATAGCCCTGGCCGTTTGTTAATCCATGAAATTATTGTTTATTAGTACCCAAAGCATATCATTTTATTTTACCCTAGTGGTCCCGATAAACAAGACATTTATTTTCTCTTTTGAAAGGCTCAACGTCTCGTCTATAAAGACTCCCTTTAGGTCGCCTATAAAAACTCCCTTCAGCTCGTTTATAAAGACTCAGCTCGTCTATAAAGACATACTCCCTTCAGCTCGTCTATAAAGACAGACTCCCTTCAGTTCGTCTATAAATCAGACTCCCTTCTGCTCGTCTATAAAAAATCTCCTAAACTATAAAGACCTCGCTCAGCTCGTCTATAAAGACTCCCTTCAGCTCGTCTATAAAAACCACCTTTTGCTCGTCTATAAAGACCGTCTTCCGCTCGTGAATACTTCCTTCAGCTCGTTTATAAAAACTCCCTTCAGCACGTCTATAAAGACTACCTTCAGCACGTCTATAAAGAGTCTCTTTAGCTGGTCCTTTAACGCGTCTATTAGGACCTCATTCAGCTCGTGTACAAAATTCCTCATTCAGCTCGCCATAAAGACTATCTTCTTATATAATATTAACCTCAATGATTCCTCAGGATTCAAAAATTTTAAAGTGAATAAGTCCGAATCTAAGTATACCTAAATCCTTTAAGACAAACAGCTGATTTCAAGACATTTCACCCAAATTCAAATTCGTCCGGCGAACCGGCTTTTTTATACCAACAATAAACAAAACAAACGAGTTTTAGGCGAAGGTACGATTTTGGATATTAAAATAATAAAAATTTAAAATAACATCCCTCCTATTCCAGATCTCTATAGTTAACATGTCAATTTATTCATATAACACATCTCGGATTATGGACTCCATGTTTATACAAATCTTGGCTTTAGTCATCCTATGCTATTTGTGTTATGGTTCATCTCTAAATGGAAGTTTCGTGTTCGATGATACCGTGGCCATAAAGCAGAACAAAGCCATTGCAAAAACACCAACCAATTATACAGCTATATTCATCAGTGATTTCTGGGGTGCCCCGATAACCAGTGAAGATTCTCACAAATCATATAGGCCACTGACATCGCTGCTATTTCACTGGGAATGGATAAAGTGGCAAATGCAACCCAAACATATGAAAGCCATTAACTTGGTGATCCACATTTTTAATAGTGTTTTAATTCTATTGGTTCTTCGTGAGTTTAAATTTCAAGAATCTCCTTTAAACTCCAAGTCAGTTGAAAGGGTCGCTTTTATTGCTGCAATTCTTTTTTCTATACATCCCATACATACGGAGGCTGTATCTGGTATCGTTTCAAGAGCAGATTTAATGTTTTGCTTGCTGTATCTTATATGTTTGTATATTTGTTGTTGGAGCAGGAGATTATGGCGGGAAAATAATTTATGGTTTCAATTACTAGTTTCATGTCTAACCTTTGTTGGTGTTTTATTTAAAGAATCTGCAATAACAATACCATTGGCCTGTGTATTTCTTTCGTATGTCCTGAAAGGCTACCACACCTTGGACTGGAAGCAACAAATAAAATCAATATTTTCGTTGGAAAATATATTTTTTGCTTTTACGACTTTGATAATAGCAGTATTTCGCCTTTGGATAGCTGGTTTTACAAGTCCAACATTCCGTAATGCCGATAATCCGGTGGCCCATGCAGACAGCCTGAAAACTAGAATATTTTCTCAAAATTATTTATATTTTTATAATCTAAAAATACTCGTTGATCCATCCGAATTGTGTTTTGATTGGTCCTTTGGTTGTATTCGGTTGATTGAGAACATCAAAGATGTTCGCTTGATTTTGATATTGGGTCTATATGTTTTATTTCTGATCGTGCTATTAAATTATAAAGAAAACTGTCCAACCTTTGTGGCCTGTGGTCTTATGATTATACCCTTTTTACCAGCATCGGGAATTATTAAGGTGGGATTCGTTATTGCTGAACGGGTATTATATGTTCCATCAATAGGATTTTGTTATTTAGTGGCCTATGGTTTGGTTTGCCTCTATGATTGTGAGCATTTTCATAAACATTTACATGTGGGTTTTGGTATTGTAATAGTGATTTTCATAATGCGCTGTAGGCAACGCTCCGCCGAATGGTTAACCGAGGAGAAACTATTTTCCTCAGCCTTGGATGTGTGTCCCAATAATGCAAAGGTAGTGTATTGTAAATACAAAAATACATTTTTGTTAATAGGCCTTTATTTTGCTAGGTACACTACAACATTGCCCGCCTTGCAACAGATATGCACAATTACCCCAAAGCATTTGAACACTATCACAAAGCCATTGAACTATCACCCGACTATGATGCTGCCCTTATGAATTTGGGTAATTTATATCGTGATCAGGGTGACCTAACAAAAGCAGAAAAATATCTACTGTCTGCATTGGAAATAACACCCATCTTTGCCACAGCATGGATGAATTTGGGTATTGTCCAGGCGGCCAAAAAGAAATTCCCCGACGCCTTACAAAGTTATCAGAATGCTTTAGCACATCGTAAAAATTATGCCAATTGTTATTATAATATGGGTAATCTCTTCTTAGAGCAACAACTGAATACAAAAGCCCTACAGCACTGGGAAATGGCAGTGGCATTAAAGCCCACACTACGTCAGGCATGGACAAACATATTAACCATGTTGGATACACAAGGAAAATATGATAAAGCATTAAAGGTATCCGATAAGGCATTAAAGTATCTTCCCAATGAATCGTCGATAATATTTTTACGTGCCAATATTTATGGAAAACTTGGTCGTTATGCGGAAGCTGAGCAGCTATATAAACAGGTTGTGATAAAAGAGCCACTTAATTATTTATATCATACAAATTTAGCTGTATTATATCATCGTTGGAATCGTATAAACGATGCTATAGATTCATATAAAAGAGCATTAGATGCGGATCCGAAGCGAGCAACAACGGCAAGAGATAATTTAAATAAATTAATTAACAAAATGGCAAATAAAAAGAAAATGGTTTAGCATTCGGAAAATTTAAAAAGAATAATAAATATTTAAGTTAATCTAAAGAAATAATTTAATAAAATTTATATTTTTATACATAAGCATTTTTTTAATAAAAATATAATTTTTACTATTTCAAAATAAAAATTAGTACATAAATACCTCTTATGAGGCTTACCTACGAAGCTCCTCTTGAGATAGTCTATAAAGACTCCTTGAAGCTGATCTATGGACTTGTTTTAACTAGTCTATAAAGATTCCTTTAAGCTCGTACACAAAGACTCGTCCATGAAGACTCCCTTCAGCTCGTCTATAAAGACTCCCTTCAGCTCGTCTATAAAGACTCCCTTCAGCTCGTCTATAAAGACTCCCTTCAGCTCGTCTATAAAGACTCCCTTCAGTTCGTCTATAAAGACTCCCTTCAGCTCGTCTATAAAGACTCCCTTCAGCTCGTCTATAAAGACTCCCTTCAGCTCGTCTATAAAGACTCCCTTCAGCTCGTCTATAAAGACTCCCTTCAGCTCGTCTATAAAGACTCCCTTCAGCTCGTCTATAAAGACTCCCTTCAGCTCGTCTATAAAGACTCCCTTCAGCTCGTCTATAAAGACTCCCTTCAGCTCGTCTATAAAGACTCCCTTCAGCTCGTCTATAAAGACTCCCTTCAGCTCGTCTATAAAGACTCCCATCAGCTCGTCTATAAAGATTCCCTTCAGCTTGTCTATAAAGACTCCCTTCAGCTCGTCTATAAAGACTTCACTTCAGACTCACTTCAGCTCGTCTATAAAGACTCCCTTCAGCTCGTCTATAAAGACTCCCTTCAGCTCGTCTATAAAGACTCCCTTCAGCTCGTCTATAAAGACTACCTTCAGCTCGTCTATAAAGACTCCCTTCAGCTCGTCTATAAAGACTCCCTTCAGCTCGTCTATAAAGACTCCCTTCAGCTCGTCTATAAAGACTCCCTTCAGCTCGTCTATAAAGACTCCCTTCAGCTCGTCTATAAAGACTCCCTTCAGCTCGTCTGTAAAGACTCCTTTCAGCTCGTCTATAAAGACTCCCTTCAGCTCGTCTATAAAGACTCCCTTCAGCTCGTCTACAAAGACTCCCTTCAACTCGGCTATAAAGACTCCCTTCAGCTCGTCTATAAAGACACCCTTTAGCTCGTATATAAAGACGCCCTTTAGCTCGTATATAAAGACACCCTTTAGCTCGTATATAAAGAAACCTTTTAGCTCGTATATAAAGACACCCTTTAGCTCGTCTATAAAGACTCCCTTAAGATCCCTTCATCTCGTCCCACGTTTATCTTAAAATATAACCCAAAGTAAATAAACAATTCTTTCTTATTTCTTCTCCTTTATATTAAAAAATGTACATATATGTACACAAAGTAAACTCAATTAATATACAAATCCATAAAACAATAACAATCAAGCTTCTTCTCTTGCCAGAATATTATTTAACAATAGCGGTGGCCACCATTTAGGTATCTCTACAGAACATGGCTTCCCATCAATAGTCAATTCTTTGGATTTCAATGTCTTTTCAATTCGTATTAAAGCCAAGGCATTTGTTTCCACACTACCAAGGATGTTGCCCACTTTGGCATCGGCATCATTACACACCGAATATGAAGATTTTTCACTTAAAGAATTTTTCAAAATTACCGGCATATGCCGTTTACGTATGACACCTGTGTGATGAACTCTTGCTGTCAACTCCTGTCCAATGTAGCAACCTTTGTTAAAACTAACACCATTTAAGAGATCACAATTAGCTTCCAGGGGAAATTGTTTACCGGGTGGCATATCTTGCATTCCTTCGGCCACACCCAGTTTATATCTATGCAGTCGATAATTATTGCCGCCATTGGAAAGTTCAATTTTAATATTTGATAAATTCTTGAGTAATTTGGAAATTTCTTCGGAAGTTCGGTCGGATGTTGCTAATAAACGGTAACCCAATTCCGGTAATCTTGGATCATTTATAATATCCATATTATCCACCGGCATTTGGGGAAGTACAGCAGCTGGGCCTCCACCACTTTGAAATACACACCAAACCTTTAATTCATCAGCTATGCTATCGATTTGGATTTTCCTTCTCACCCGATAAAGCTTTAAATGACGCATTAATTCGTTGCATACCTCCTGATCACATTCAATCAGAATTGTTGAACTGTCACTGGGGGATTTATAGACAATGGCATCGTACATTACCCGTCCGGCTTTATTTAGGAACATTGTATACAGTGATCCGGTGTGTGATGACTGCAGCTGCCTTATGTCATTTGTGGTGAGACCTTGCAGGAAAGGTATGACATCTTCACCCTTAACACGTACCAATTGCCGTTGATCCAGAGATTCAACAATGAATTTTTTCTCCGTGGCAGCAGCCTGGGTACTTTGATTCGCCGTCGCCTGTGTGATCTTTGTAGAGGTAATTAAACGGGAGCATAACAGCTTCAGCTGATTGTTACGTAGTATATTCATAGTTTTTATCAGTTTGATGTTGACATAAAATCGTCAGGCACCAAGAAGTACAGACTTATCTGGATAATAAAACTACACAGTCTATTTTGTTACTATTCAATCCAAAAGGATTTTTCCATCCGAGTTCCTCGATATTTTTCCCAAATATTCTTATTGATGGTGCCTGTAACTTTTGTTTTTATTTAAAGCAAAATGAACTAAGTACATTTATTAATACGATACTTAGTTCGCTGATTATTTAGCTATTACACAAATATTTATGTGTAAGGTTTTTAATTACTTTATAATTTTGAAATAAATAAATTGTTTTCTGTTATAAAATTATTGAAATGATGCAAAATAAACTATCTCAATCGAAATGTAATGTGTTATATCGTAATCGAAAAAAAAACATACGATATTAGAACATATGTTAAACAGATGCCTTAAAGAGATGCTAACTATGCGTTTTTTAATGTTAATAGAATTGAGTTATTTAAAGAATTCTACTATATTAACTTATTTAATAATTTTTATTTTATTATTATTCATTTATGAACAACAAAAGTGTTGAAATATGGCTCCCCAAATTTTTGAAATCTAATTAAAATTCACTAAACATACTTTACCAAAATGTTAGAAACTTAAAAACGATACTTTGCAATATTTGCTTTAAGTCGTTCGATAATGAATATAAAATTCTTTTACCTGATTGATGGCTTTATCAGCAAGGTACATTTTTTGTTCCTAATAGGGTACATTTACATTACATTCCAGGTCATTCATCTAAAATTCAATGAAATTGTAGACAGAAATACAATGGCCAATGCCGGATGCCATCAATCAAGGGATGAATGGGGTGATGATTATGTGCAAGTAGCAAGCAATAGTAACTCGCATTTTTATAAAATCTTTCCCTCACTGACAACAAAACACTTGTTTCAAAATTGTAATTTGAACTCCTTTTCACAAAATCAAATCAATAGAATCCTTAGTGGTCACTGTTTCTGCAAGAGCACCTTAGCCAAAATGAATGTGGTACCCAGTGTTGCCAAAACTTTGTCGATAAAAAATGCTAGATTTTGTTTAAAAAAATGCTAGAAAGTGCTAAAAATTTTAAAAAAGTGCCAAATAAAAGTGCTAAAAATTTGTAAGAAGGAACTTCGCTTTTAGATAAAAATTAGATCTATATTTATTAAAAATTCATTATACACACAAGGGAGAATGAGTGTATTTTTAATATCCTTGCAACACGTCGAAATATTTCCATGAGATCCTATTTATTCATAACCAAAAAAAAATCTTCAATATTGCCATGTACGTCTCTCTGATTAAATGACGATATATCTCGCAATATTGAAGGCAAATCTTTGAAAATTTGCACATTACTCATATTTATAGGGTGTTTGGTATTGAAAATGGGATATATCTGTCCTTTTCAAGGTAGCCGCAACCGAATTGGCTCTAATTTAATATTTCGGTTTTTTATTGGAAAAAATCTTCCTATAAAAAATTATCAATATGTGTGTTCGGTGTAGAACGGTACATCAATTATTCGGTGTTTTGGTGACTTTAGACACGTTTTTTAATCAATTTCAATTCAATTTGATATTTTGGATTCCCATTAGGCAGAAAATCTCCATACCAAGAATTATCTATATTGGTCCCTGTCTCGGGGTAGCCTTCAAAGAGCGGTCGTGGACGTTTTTTAATAGAATTGATTGTAATATCACAAGAGGCTGGCACATATGCAGAAAATTATCAATTATCAGGGATTGCTCATATCCCTCATATTAAAGTACCGACCAATTTTCGGTATTTTGAGGGGTTTAGTCGTATTCTGGGCTCTGTTAAAGTAGAAAATATATTTATGCGGGCAATTTTCTATATTTAAACATATGCTACATATAAAATGTCCGCCTTATTTGCATACTTATAAAGCATTCTGTATTACGGTTGAATAAAAATCATTGTTCAAGAAAGTTTACAATTTAGGTTTATAATTTTTACATTACTCCCACACAATGGCCCCGCATAATTTGTTTTTTTTTTTTCATTTTTCCAAATATACAACCTACTATCAGACAATGTCACAGTTACCATATGAAGTACCCAACAATTTAAGAAAATTGTAATAACCACCACATGATGCTGGGTATAAAACGTTTGGCCGGATCGGGTTTTTTACATGTTCATAGATTTACTGACACTTTTTAACATTGGAAATAGGAGTATGTGAAAAATGTGAAAAAACGCCTTTTATTTATTTATTTATATATTTTTTTTTTTTTTGTGAAACCAAATAAACAGAAAATTTAAAAAATATCCTGAAAAAATAAAAATGCTAAAAAAGATGCTAGGTGCTAGATCAATATTTTTGGTGCTAAACGAGTTTAAAAAGTGCTAAATCTAGCACTAAAAGTGCTAAATTGGCAACACTGGTGGTACCAGATAAAATATGCGAGAACTGCGGAGAAGCGAGTTCGTCCTCGGACGGCTCACAAGAAAGACGTAAAAAAAAAAAAAAAAAAAAAAAAAATTTTAAATGAGTACTATACGCCCACGGGCTTAAAAATAGATTTTTACAAAATGGCGGTTGTTAAGCGTTCGCTTAACTAACACGTGTGTTTTTAAATACGGATAACCTATAAATTACGAGTCGTTCAACAAAATCCAAACAGCTGCGCATGAAATTTTTAATTTTCGTAAATTTAATAGCAAAAGAAGATGCTTTTCGCTACTATGTGACTCCTTCACAGTAGAAGAGTTCACTGATACACAAGGCTTAGAAAGTCTGAACATTGTGGTCAAATTCTTAAAGAAGATCGAAGTCAACCTGCAAAACACAAACCACCATCTATGGATAGTCAAATTCGTAGCAAAGCTACATACGGATACATGGCACTAAACCTTCTATCCCTATAGAAAGTGGGCCAACCAAAATAATATAAAAAAAAAAAAAAACTGCGGAGAAGCCGAAACGGCCGCACATATAATCTTTGGATGTCATAAATTTAAATTATTAATACAATAAGATGCTTTTAGGAACTATGTGATTTCTCCACACTTGAAGATTACACGAATTCACTAGGCTTAGAAAGTTTGAACATTGTTGTAAAATTCCTAAAAGAAGTTGGAGTCGACCTCTGAATACGACACATAAATCACCAGCAATGGTGAAAGTCAAATCTGTAGCTTAGCTGCGCATGGAGACATGGATCTGAACATTCGAACTTTTAGTAGGACGTGAGCCAGGAACTTTAAATAAATGTATAAGCTTTCCACAATATCTGTGAACATAAAAATTGGGCATGCTAATTTGATTGGCAAATTCATTAATATCGGCCTTTAAGGCTTCTAATTGCATTTTTTGAAATAAATATATTATTTGGAGAAGCTCTCAATTTTCTATTTAATAATATTGTAACATACTTTTAAAACACACAAATTTCAAATTCGATCTTGTATATTACGTTATTACTTGCTTCATATTGAATATGTACGTGTAGTCACTTAAAAAACTTCATACTATTATATGTTCGGATTATCATACCTTTATAAGATATAGTCATTAAGATTTAATTATTACATGGAGTAGTATGGTTTGCAATTTATTTAAAATCGGCCTTTGAGGCTTCAAATTGCATTTTTGAAATAAATAAATATCGACTTGCTCCAAATTTTAATTAAGAATTGTACTTAAAACACACATGGAAATTTCATCCTTATATTCAACAAATACTGAATTGATTTGCCTAGGTGAATTTAATTTGCCTAACATTACATGGATCAGGGATGAACATTATGTTGATTATATACGTGTTGCATCTACTGGTAAAGATATATAATGAGAGTATATTTATGATCTATAAATTCCCTATACAGCGTCTATAAAAACTCCCTTCAGCTTGTTTATAAAGACTCCCTTCAGCACGTCTATAAAGACTCCCTTCAGCTCGTCTATAAAGACTTCAAAATGCTCGTTTTTAAAGACTCGCTTCAGCTCGTCTATAAAGACTTGCTAAGCTCGACATTAAACGCTCATTTATCAAGAATTTTTTCAGCTTATCTATAAAGACTTCATTAGTCTAAAAAGACTAACTTCAGGTGGTCAAAAAAAATGAAATAATTTTAAATATCTCTAAAACATAAAATATGACGTTTAAAAATAAATTATACTTTTTGTTTATATTGCTATTTACTTATAATATAAAATTACTTGAATAAAGACTTACTAGTACTACTACTATTCGCGTCCTAAAAATAGTTTCGATTTCTTATATAAAAGTCTAATTAAACTCAGTGGTGATTACAGATCAATTTAGAATCGCTCTTGGATATTTGCGCTAGATTCTCATATAAATTATAGCCCTTTATATTGAAGACATATACATATATGTAAGCGTAATTATTTATATGGAATACCTACTCGCCCACCTAAATATCCGCATACTATAAAACCGGTCTAATTGATTTGTTATATTATCTAACATCCATATATATTGGCCAATTGACCTATTTAGCACTATCTTTATCCATGGTTAATAAACAACTAATTCGCAATGGTGGCTTATTTTAATCTGCCAGAAATAATCAAATCACGACGTGATAAAATAATGTATTTCTTTTATAATAAGTGCCAGCAAATAACTCTCGACATCATATTGGTGGAATTGTTGATGATGTTAGCATTTTTTGGAGACAAAACTATGTCTGGAATTTGTTTGTACGTGTTAATTGTGACATTTATTTGGTATTTGTTTTGAGATGAGTCCACATGTCTGTATTTTTTTTGTTCACAGTGTTTCGCACTTATGTCAACAACAAGCTGCTAAATATATCATCAATATGTGGTATGTTAATAAAGAGTAATGTGTGATTAACAACAATAAGAAAAAACAATAACAACAACAAAAAAGTGTATTGTACCTTTTTGCCAACAAAGACTAGTCCTATGATAAAGCCAGGCATGGAAAAATACAAAAAACTGTTTTAGAATATAGCAAACACAACAATAAAGCTTATTATGTATTTTGCAATCGAACCTAGTCCTATGATCCAGCCTGTTATGAAAAAAAACACACAACTGTAATCTATGGGAAATTGTAATATTTATTTAGGTATTTTTTGTGAATATTTTTCTTTCTTTTTGTAATATATTTGTATGTATGTGGCGACCGACGACATTCAATCAAAAATATATATAATTAATCAATCACATGATTTGGATGTGTACATATATATAAATGTAAGAATAAATATAATAATTTGCTACTCTACACACTAATTTGTGATTGTAGCAAAGAAAAAAAATGGCAAAGAAAAAACGCTTAACTTAGAGAAACACAAAAGATAAAATTGAAAATTAAAAAAAAAAATAGTATTCGATGAAATAATGGGGCCTTGAAATGACCACACATTGATGTGGCTTAATAATGTGAGTAATAATATTTATAATAATAAGATAAGGTACATAATTTTACGAAATAGATAATTTTTGTTTTCAATAGTAGAGTTTCAGTGTGCCGCTCTCTTCAATGACATTGACACATGATGTATTAATGTATTCATTTCAAAATTTATATTCTATATATATAAAAAATACACATCTATAGGCTAGCAGAGTAATAATAATAATGGGTATGATGTACTTAAACTACAAATAAATTAAATAAACATTAGTTGATAAGAAGAAACAGAAAACAGCACATTATGAATGGAGAATAAATGAAATGATAACAAAGTTTATAATAATAAACAAGAAATACAAATATATATGTGTATAGTATTGGTTTGCATTGGACAAAACAAAATAAAATAATAATAGACAATAGGAGCTTTTGTAACAAAAGTAAAGGAAACACACAAATGTTTGTATTAGATACCAAAACGAACAAAAATACGTACGTATATGCGAAATAGTAAAATAAGTCTTTAATTTTGAGATACATAATGTAACAACAAAAAATTTTGTTATTTGTATATAGTTATTATAAAAATGGCATGATAGATATTTGTTATGTGTAGGATTTACTGTTTGTTGGTTGGTTATAGAAAGCAACCACCAAACAAATGTGAATGGGTCTAAAGTTCCATCTTAAAGTAATACAAATTCCTCAGTTTCGCTGTCATCGTCGATTGGCCCACCGCCTACATCCTGATTAATTTGTAACAATTGTTTTTGCAATGGCTTATATAGAGAATCACTCATTTCATTGATGGTCTCATGCTGAAGGCAGCGACCACGAGAAAATGAAAATAATGGATAATTCATTTCGGCATATTGATTGGATGTTTCGGTAAAACTGTTGGTCAAGCTAGAAGGCATTTGTTGTTGTTGTTGTTGCTGATGTGGCTGAGGTAATTGTTTTTCCAATGAACCTGAGGCACAGCGCATGGGATGTAAATACTAAAAATATTTGTTTTAATACAAATAAATTAAATATACATTTTTATCAAACCCTTACCATTTGCACAGATTCTACAAAATTATCAAAATCGGTTTTTGTTTGACAATAGAAACCAATACAGCAACTTGGATCCATTTTACTTGATTTCAGTTTCCTTGGCGATTTACAATGGAATGAATGCAGGGGGAAATTTTCCTGATTAACATCAACCATTTCTTGGCAATAATGGGGATCCAAATGGATTAATTTGTCCTCTAGATAATTAGAAACAAATATATTTAAAAACTTTATAAATTTGTTAATATTAAAGATTTACCTTGAAAACCCACAAAATACAATGAATGTTTTGGTCTTCCTCCAATGATACCAATACAATATTCCGTGCTAAGTAATAACTTTAAACAATGAGCATACACAGGATTTAATTTGTCCGAACCCAAACGTAAGGGCACCAACACAATTAATGATTTCCAATTTGATTTGATTTCATTTGATTTTGGTGTATGTTGTTTTTTCCATGGTACATGGGATTTGGGTGTTGGTTCGGGTATACAACATTCGGCTTCAATGTCACCAATATATACTGCAAAAAAATAAAATAAATTTCATTTATAAAAATTAATTATTTTATAAAAACCAATTCTACTTACTTGTACAATCCTTAGCCACATAAATAACTAAATTATCAAAATCAGCATTTTCTTGGGCAGCATTTTTTAAAGCTTGCCTACAATAAATGAATACAAATCTTATTAATCGTATTAAACATAATAAATATTTCCACTTACCTTAACAAATATGAAACAGATGCCGGGCCATACCAATCTCCCGGCTTCTTACCCATTTCCTCACCTAATTTCACCAAGGTGTGTATGGAGAATGGACTACTTTTTGATGAACTGTCACCAAACCATTTTATGATCTTTTTATGCATATTATCCTCCAGAGTTGAGTGCAGCTGAGATTCAGGATCATAACGCCAGCCTTTTGAAATAAAATAATAAAATTAAAAATTTTCAATTTAATAAACATCTTCACTTACGTCTTCCCAAAAAATGACACAACAATGCCTGGGCCAACAACATTTGTCCACTACGCAGCATACAACCCCAACCACAATCGCTGGTATAATTCGAACCATTCATAGTGGGGAATTCACGTCGATATGTCATCCAAATACGACTATAGAAATCTCTTTTGAATCCCTCAATACCCTCTTCCCAGGGATTTTCGCCCACCTGATTATCGGTGGCATCCAATGCCAATTCTTGTGGCACAACAATTTCCTCAACCTGTTGTGGATTTAAAATTGGATATAGGGCCGATGAACTGCTATTTGGAGTCAATCCAATACCACCAGCCGCATCTTGTTGTATGGTATCATAGGCATTTGAAACTGTCATATTATTTTCATCTTGCTGTCCCACCATTCCACTCAATTCCGAACTATTTTCCATCGAAGAGGGCGGAGTGCATTTACGATGATAACATCGTCCCAAAAGCCACACTGGCTGCTCTTTGGAAAAATTCGATTTCAATTTTCCACTCCAGCCATATTTGACATTGTGCCACATTGAAAGAAGTTTTGATTCCATGCCCTTGGTTGGTGTCCGACCAGCGGCCGATAACGCTGCAGCATTATTGACGGCCTCCGTGTCATCACTGTCTGTGGCACCAGCCACACACGACGTAGCCGTTGATGTTGTGTACAATTGTTGAAACGCATTTATAAAACGTGATGATGTTGAGATTTTCCTGGTTGGTGTGGATGTTTGCTCTGTCTTTACATTGCCACCACTACTACCAGCACTACCACCACTGGCACTTGCAGCCGCTGTAGTTGTGGGTGTGTTTGAACTAATGCTAGTCGTCGTTGCCACCGATGACCGTGGTGGGATAACACATTGTATAGTGGCAGCCTGTTCCTCTTCTATTGCACCATCTTCCACGGCTATGTCATCGGTTAATGTCCTGCCCGTTGTAACCTGGAACAGGTTCAGTTTATCGTCCGTTGTTAACTGTGACAACAGGCCATCATAGTTCATCTGTGAACGAGAGGAAGTATTCGAATATGATGGGGATTTCCTTAGACACGAATACATTTTGTGAAAAGCTAAACTATAACGTCGCGGTCGCGGTCTTTGCGGATGTGAAGTTTGCATGGCAAAATGTCTTATGGCACTGAATCACTTACCCCAAAAATAAAAGACAACTAAGTGGTGTTCGGAGACACTGTTATAATGTGTCTTTTATAATCTCAGGTAAGCGCTAGTATGTGTCGCGAGTCCGTCCGTCCGATTGTACCTACTACTCACCGTTTATATTGATAATTTTTTTTCAGAATGCGTTTGGTAATACAACAAAGTAGCCGTGGTATTGACTCGTTTTCCGTCCCCTTTTTTGTTTGTTTATTTGTTCTAGAGAGAGATAACACTGTTTTTTGTTTATATTTTTTGTTTGTTTATCTAAAGCACCAAAAAGAACGCGCGCGTAAAAACCAATTAGTAAGAACGTTGGACCTTTGTTTTTTTATTAAATACTTGTTAATTAACACAAGAGAATGAAGAACGAACAGTGTAAATGATGATGCTGTGTTGCAAAGAAACTATTTTTTTTGTTGCCTTTTGCAAAATGAATGGCAATGGAAGAAGTGGGCAATTGAAAAATCAAAACAAAACAAAGAAAAGAAAAGTTAATCAGTGTTGATTGTTACAGTAGATTGTTACAGTAGAGTAGAGTTGACACAATGACGGCGTCAGACTGTTAACGGCGTTTTTGTCAATGGTCTAGAGGTTGTCTTGAATTTTACATATGCACAATTGTTGACATTTTCAAACAATATTGCAAACGATAAATATTTCATATAATGAAAAATTCGACATAAGGGATTAAACAAACATATATGGTCTGTTCCCGTACTGCAAGAATCTACTCGATTTTACTATTTTCTTCGATAGCATAAAGGAAAATTCGTTATCGTAGTAAAAAATCGCAAGGTCATATCGTGAAAAAGGAAGAAAAATATTATTTTCATTCATGAATTGGAAAATTTAACTACTCCAAAAACTAACAATAACTAACAACTTCAGAACCATTGTACTTCAAAAACATTTTTATTATTATAACTAGCATATGCCCGCACACATTATTTCCATAAGTACCCACCTCAACCATCTAACAAAACTTCCTGCATGCCCCGATCCCCAAATTCAAATTTCAGGATTACCACTCTATTGGTTCACTAACAATTCGAATTGTACCAAATTTAGTACACAGTATTACGAATTTCCAAAACTTCTTACTTAACCCAATCTGACACGTCCACATTGATACTAAATCCAAATTTCAGGATTCCAACTCTATCGGTTCACCAAAAATTTAAATTGTACCAAATTTAGTACACTCCAAATTTCAGGATTCCAATTCTATCACTTCACCCACAATTCAAATAGTACCAATTTCCAAATCTTCCTACATACCCCAATCCTGCACCTCCTAAATCCAAATTTCAGGATTCCAACTCTATCGGTTCACCCACAATTCAAATTGTACTAAATTAAACTGCCTACTTAACTCAAAGCTACACCCTCACAGTGATCCTAAATCCATGTTTAAGGATTCCAACTCTATCGCTTAAGAGTGTGTTTACATTTTACCGGATTTGGTTAACGCAGTGGGTTTAAATTGTCTATTTCATTGAATATATGCCAAATAAATCCCCATAAAAAGGTTAACCCGGTAAAAAGTTCTAATGTAAATGCCGTATAACCCACAATTTTAATTGTACCAAATTTAGTATACATTACTACAAAATTTCCAAAACTTCCTACATATCCCAACAATAATCCTAACTTCAAATTTCAAGATTACACATCCATCGGTCCACTAAAAATTTAAATTGTACCAAATTAGTACCATAAGTATTAATTTTTTGAACTGAATCCTGACCCAAATCCTACACTCCAACAGTGATCTTAACTCCAAATTTCATTGTTAAAGCTCTATCGGTTCACCCAAATCCAAATTATAGTACGATTTAGTACCTTTCGTACACAAAAGTTAAAAGATTTCCAAAACTACGTACATATCCTAATCTTAAACGGCACATACATTAACATTTACATTAGATCTTTTTACAGCGTTAATCTACTCTATGAGGATTTATATGACAAGTATATAATGGAATTGACAACTGAAACCCACTGGTTTAACGAAATCCGGTACAATGAAAACGTACTATTAACGACGTCTTTTCCTACACATTTTTTGATGTTTTTGAGTATTTGCACACAATATAAATATGATCCTGCATTATTATACCATACATGGTAAAATAAATTGAGGTTATAAAAAATCAACTCTATATTTAGTGCCTGATTCCGTCTGATATTAAGTTGATTTTACTCAAAATATGTACTTAGATTTGCCAAAACAGGTACATTAAAAACTTTACCATGCGAATTCTGCACAAGTTTAGGAATACATTCTGACAATTTATTGGAATTGGCAATCTAATAACTTGTTTTGTTAAAATACATGGAATATATAATTGAACCGATTTACAATCATGGTCGGCAATCCCTAAAGTAATCACACCATTTGACACATTCCCATTAAAACAACTGTTTGTGCCGTTATTAGCAACTGAGCAATCAAAACAAATAACAACGTTGCAAAATGAGCGGCTCAAACAAGAAAAGTTGTGCAGTTGTTTTTGGTGGTCTCGTAGAGTTTCAGTGAAAATTTTTTTAAGAAAATTCATAAATATTGTTGTGCCTAAAATAATTGAAAAGAAAAAAAGATAACCCGAAAACAAATTATCATTGCAAATTCATAAAGAGCTCGCGTTATATTTGCAACGAAATGCATATTCATGTTCTCACCGAACCAAACAAATCCTAAAGTGAAAAGTTGTGAAAATAAGAAAAAAAATATTTGCGAAAATTCTTTCTGGAATCGACTGTCGACACGTCGTCTCCTGTAAAAAAAAATATTTCAGAAAAAAGTGTCTTGAAAATTACAACAGCAGCATTTATGATAAAGAATGAAGAATTGAATAAAAGAAAAGGTGGAATACAAAATATGGAGCGAAGCTAACAAGCATCTCGAAAAAAGAGTTAAAAGAGATAAAAAAGAAAAACAAAAAGGTTGTCCATCGTCGTCCCCCCTTACCACACAGAGAACGAAGTCAGCTGAACGTGAATGAATGGTGCGTCGCCGAGTAGATGCGTTTTCTATATGTGTTAGCCGCCGAAATTGTTTAGATTTGGTTTGCAATCGCGTTAGACAGATTGGAGATCAAAATTAAAGAATTTATTATCATTTGTTAGCATTTTTCATGTGCACACATAACTATACTTGTGCGGATCGGTAAACACACTTCCAATCCATTAAATTACCGGGTCACTGCCCACAATGTGTGCAATTTTGCAACTACGATAAAGCTTAGAATCCCGCAGAAAAGTGTCAAGTCTATGACATAGGTGTGCTTTTATCGAGAAGTGTAATAAAATTTCGCGGCTTTGGCGCCGATTTGCTTCTTTACGCAAGACTTTGTTCTCTGCTCCAAATAGCGAAGAGTAACACACAATTGTTAATTACCCATAGAAAACTTGAACTTCTTAGCATTTTTGGCCGGTGGCGGCGGGTCACAATTTTACCACGAATTTATTTGTTTCTACAAATTAATTAATGTGCCACTCTAAAGATTTTTTTTATTTTCGTCCACCCATCAGCAGCAGTAGTTAATGTGGAAACGAACGAAAACAGTGTTTATGTTTTGACATATTCATGTGTGTATGTGTGTATGTTGTCTGTATAGGTGAACAAGAATAGTTTTGCATGCAAAAACAACAACAATGTCCGAAGCAAAACGTGTTACATTGACAACTATTAGCAGTACGGTATCTTCATCATTACTGGCGGCCGGTTCGTCAAGATTTGGTGCAGATTTCTTAGCTCCAGCCGATAAAGCCTCATCAACAGCTGCAGCATCATCATCGGCGACCAGTAAAAATGGCTGTAAAACATTACGTTTGAATGTTGAACTTTTTCAAACCGATTGTAATCAATATCCCGAGTTTGATTATTCCAAATTGGTTCATGTGGAAAAGGTGAGTTGTTGTGCGTGAAGTAACATGTTTTAACAGATTAATGTGGTTATGGGTGTACTTCTATTTTTTTCCAAAATTAAAAAAAAAGATTTCCCGCTTGAAAAAAAATAAGGAAAATTATATTGTGTCCTGCAGTACTTTTTGGGAAGACAGCAAATCGAATTAGAATCAGGAAATAATTCAGTGTAGCATTTGTTTGTAGGGATGCGTGTTCACTTTTTTAGGTATGTCATCTTAATCCATTTCTTGTTGTTTTTAACAAAATAAAAAACATATTTCTAAAGTGGGTTATGGTCACATTGATTACTTTCGAAAAAAAAGGAAATAATGATTAAAAACCAAATTAAGCAATTTTTTTTGTTTTTAATAAACTTAATTAAGCAATGTTTTAGTAGCCTAAATGAATGTTTAAAATCGTATTTAAAAACTGATTGTCTTTACACGTGTGCGGCATTTCGCGGGAAATTTTAGTACAGTATGCAATGTAGGGTACGTGCACCAGTAGTCGGCACTTTAAGGGTTTTCGCATTTTGAACGTTTCGCTATCCCGAGTGCATTTTAATATCCTCCATAGTATGGAGGGTATATTAATTTTGTCATTCCCATTGTAACTCATATAAATCAGGGCCATGTCCGTCCGTCTTTCGGTTGTAATCACGCTATCTTCTTAAGGAATTGAAATATATCGCCAAAATTTTACAGAGAATCGTCTTTTGTCTGCGGTCCATGTTTAGGCATAGCCCCCATATAAGGGTCCCGCCCAATTTTCGATACAATAGACCACGGGTATAAGAACATCGTATATAAGAAAACGTTTCACCCATATAAGAAAACAGTTTACTATATAAAATACATTCATATAAGAAAAACCCGCTTATAAGAACCAATTTCTCGATTTTTTTGGATGTTCTTATATCCGTGGTCTACTGTATTTTGGTGTTCCTAATCACGCTTTCCCACAGAATTTGCTGAAATTAAGTACATTGGGTTCTTTTTGGGTACCAAATGTATTCAGTAAAAATTACCACTTTTTCACGTAGCCCCCATATAACTTACTTAGCTGGTTTGTTACAGAACGGTTGTTCATTAAGCCGAGCTTAAAAAAGATTTCCAAGCGTGTCGGTCTTGTGCGCATCTCATCCAATTTTAATGACCATTTTCCGAGATGTTGTCTTCTTTATTTTTTCGCCGGATTCGTGGCTCTCCCCTTCTGCGCGCACCATTACTTGGCTCGCTTTTATATGCGTTTAGAGCTGGGGTTTACTCAGACCATAGTGTTGGTCATCACTATCCATCTCCGAATTTATGGCGGTACCAAGGTATATACAAATATTTGACTACCTCGAAGCTGTAGTTCTCAATTTCCACAGTTGGTCCGAGTCCACTGGACGTCTTGCGCGTTGATATCATCAGCTTGGTCTTCTCGCAGTTTACTGCCAGACCCACTTTGGCAGACTCCTTCTCAATTTGTTCAAAGGTGGCTGTTACCGCTCTCAGTGTTCGACCCATTATGTCGATGTCATCGGCGTAGTCGAGTAACATGTGTTTTTTAGTGTACAGAGTGTAATTTCTGCCCACCTTTGCCTCACGTATGACCTTTTCCAGCAGGATGTTAAAAAGGTCACACGACAAACTGTCACCTTGTCTAAATCCTCGTTCGGTATTAAAGAGCTCCGCGAGGTCATTTCCGACTTTAACTGCTGATATTGTGCCAGTTAAAGTTATCCTGCATAGCCGTATTAATTTTGCAGGAATGCCAAACGCAGACATGGCTTTATACACCTCTGAACGGATAGGGCTGTCGAATGCGGCTTAATAGTCGACGAATAGATGGAATGTGTCGATGTGTTTTTCGTGGGTGCTTCTATACTATTATCGGGACAAAAAGTGCTTTCGACATTTCGGTTGTTGTTGTAGCAGCCCACTTGCTTTTACACAACGGGCTGAGGTGACAGACGTTGGCCGAGTAAGACTCGGGTCGTTTCGGATTGTAGACCCCTCTGTCGTGGTAGTTTGGTTGTATTTGTAGCTTTCCGACGTCGAGTTTCCGTGTTACATTAGATCACACCTTTGCTGCTACATTAAGACGGGTGCGAACCTTGGCCGCCACAAGGTAATGGTCCGAATCGATATTCGCCCCTCGTATCGATCGAACGTCTAAAACCATGCTTGATCAGGAGAAATCCAGGTGACCTTGTGTATATCGAGATGCTTGAATCTGGTGCTGTTAAGTACCTTGTTTTTTGCTGCCGCGAATTGAATCGATATCAAGCCTTTCTCGGATGTTGCTTCACGGAGGCTGAATTTTCCTATGGTGGGACCAAAAATATTTTCTCTTCCGATTTTTGCATTAAAATCTCCTAGCAGAATTTTAATGTAATTGACAGGGCAGCGGTCATATTCTGTTTCTAGGCGTTTGTAAAATATGTCATTGGTCTGCTTATCTTTGTCTTCCGTCGGAGCATGGGCGGAAATGAGACTATGTAGAACAACGGATTATAACAATTCGCACATCTACTGGAGTGAATCTGGAGACGAGGTCTTTTATTCTCCTATTAACCATAAATCCGCCGCCAAATTCACGTCTCGTTACATGGTAGCTATAATACATGGCGTAAGTCCCTTTCCATCGCATTTACAGTAAGGCAATAATATCGGCTTTGTACTTCTTGAGTACATACGCCAAGGCGAAAACTGTGCCTGTTCTGTACATCAACATTGGGGGGTTTGGTTTTCATTTTCGTTGCTATTTCATAGTAAGAGGGGTTTTCCGAGTTTGGGCAACTAACCCGACGACTCAACCCATTTTTTTATAGTTTTTATGGGGGAACTCGTGGCACATATCAGCTCACTATTTCAATGGATGATGAAAATAGATACTCATTATACTACATCAGAATTGCTGCATGTTACTGATATGGTTAGATATAATGCTAATATAGGGAGGATATTCCTCTTAGTTTGTTTGGTTTCGACCAAGGATTTTAACTGTATATCCTATTCAATAATGATTAACATGTCGTTTGGTATTTTCTATTCACATAAATGAGGAAGGTACCTCTTTTTCAAACGATTTTATAGTAAAGAAATTTACTTGACTTAGATTAGAAAGTAATCCGTTACTGGCTTAATAAGTTGTAGTTCTCGCCAGCAAGCCAGTCATACAGACATTTCTATATCAAACATTTAGTCCAAAGACACTTGTGGCCCAAATTCGATTATTGAACTACAATTTATTTTATAATACTTTTTTGTTTGTAGAAAAAGCTGAAAAAACTTAAACAAAAGACAAATGGTTTCTCGGATCCTTTTGAGGATAATGATGATGATGTGGCACGCATTGCCAAGGAGTTAGAGAGAAAATATGGTAATGCCTATGTCAGTGGACGAGGCAAAAATAAAAGAGATGACATCGACATTGGCATGGGATATGACGAGTCAGACTCGTTTATTGACAATACAGAAGCGGTATGTACAAAATTTTATACGTCCTTTTTTTGGAAAATTTAAAAAAATATACCGAATATTACATACAGTACGATGAGATGGTACCCGACGAAGTGGAAACAATAGAAGGGGGTTTCTATATCAACTGCGGTGCATTGGAGTTTAAAAAACTTCATACCGAATCGACGACCACCAAAACCGATGAAATTATTAAAATGCCAAATCGTCCAAAGAAACCTGTCATATCATCATCGTCGGAGGATTCATCTTCATCGGATGATGACGACGACGATGATGAGGAAGATGAGGATGACGATTCGGATGATGATGAGGACGATGAAGAGGAAGATTCGGCCGAAGATGCTTCGGTTGAAACAGCCAAATCCAAGTCCAGTTCATCTGCACCTGTCGTCGATAAAAAACCGAAAGTCTCCTTGAGTAGTACGGGTAAGAAAAAGGCGTCCAGTGCACCATTGGAAAATGGAAATAATCAGAAGAAGAGGAAAATTAAAAATATTACCAGTGGTGTATCATCGGGTTCATCTTCGAATTCTCCAAAGCCGGTGATGACTGATGATTTAGCCTCCGATTCGGAAAAGGAAAGAATTGCTAAAAAACTGGAGAAAACCACAACCGTGAAAGATATGCTCAAGGCCCAGAGAGATAATTACTTGAAATCACAAACAGTCAATGATGTTAAATCGGGCAATGGCAAAGTTAAGGGCAAATCATCGTCAGGCGACGATGATGATGAGGAATCTAGTGATGACTCTGATGATGAGGAGGATGGGGATTCCGATAACAGCGATTCCAATCAAAGTGCTCCCAAAACTCAATTAGATAAGAAGTCGGCATCTAGTAATGAAGAGAATCCAGGAAATGAAAGTAATTCACACATTAAAATATGTCGTATTTTCCTTATACTAACCTAAAAATAATTACAGAATTAAGGTCTTCGGATACCAAATTGCCCGATATAGAGCCAGAGGTACTGGCAAGTGTTGTGAGCTTTCGAGATGAACTTAAAACAAAAAATCTATTGGGCAAGAAATTTCAATTTGATGATCGTCTGTCGGAATGCTTTTTGAAGTGAGACATTGGGAGGCAAATATCTATGAATTATGGTTATTTTTTTGGTATTTTATTTCCAGAATTGATGATGCCTTACTGTGTATTGATAAAGGCGATCGCAGCATGGTCTATGCCCATCTGGAATATCAACTAATGCAACCGAAATATTTCTTTTTACGTAAAGCCAGACAATTACGGGAAAAGGAAGAGAAGCTTAAAACAAAACGGGCCTTTAACAAATTGCAAAAGGCTGTGACCGAAACAATGCCTGCGGTTATAGCTAGTTATGATGCTGAATTAAGAAGATATGCTGAATTGCAGTAAGTTGAAAATTGAGGGATTGATGATTGATGGTGTTACAAAAAAAAAACATTGTTTCTTTTACAGGGCGGCAAGTGTAAATTCTGAGCAGCCTCCCAAAATGCCAAAGAAGAAATTCCCTTGGAATCCTAATTTAAGGTAGGAATATTTTTCGTTTATGATGTTGAGCTGAATATTTTAAAAAATGTCTCCCTTAGAAATCTATTGTACGAGGTTTACCAAGTACGTTGGACATCATATCCTGTCCTGGGAAAAAAGAAAGAGACACTCGAAGATTTCATTACCACCTATATGAGCAAAAAGGTTGTTGAAATTTGGCCCAAAGGTTGGATGCGTTATGAAGAGCTTCAAAAGGAAATCGAGAAACGAAAGAATGCTGTGAAAAAAGCTAAGGAAAAGGAAAAATCCAAAACATCGCTACCATCTGTCTCGAACACAGCAGCAGCTGTTGTACCAGGAGTGACATTTAACCCGGCCGCATCAACTCTAGCAAACCCTCCGCCCGAAACAAACCCACGTTCCAATGCCAACTCGGATACAGATTCTGTAGCCAGTAGTAGCAACACATCGTCGAGTCTGAAACGTAAAAACACTGACACAAATCCAAGCAGTAAACAACCCAAGGCAGCGAAATCTGCCAAATTGAATGGAGAACAGCAACAACATCAGAATAAACAATCCACAAATACAAAATATATGCCGGCAGGTCTAGATTTAACTTCACCCAAAAAGAAATCCGATCACAGCATTAATCACATAATATCACCGACATCTATTGCTGCGGCGGCAGCAGCAGCTGCATCATCGTCACAGCAAGCAGCAGCCGCCTCCGGCACATCATCCATATTCAGTGCAACGGTGGCCGCTTTATCACAACCCTTGAAACATTCCAGTAATACACATGTCATTGATCTCGACAATTATACATGTCCTAGCGAAATAATGCAACAGGCAGCTGCGGCCAATGCCGCCGCCTTGTCATCATACACAATGACCAATACAAATATCAGTTCACGTCGCGAAAGTAGCGGAGCTGATTCCGAAATTGAGATAGTTGGTTATTATCCAGCCAAAAGTACTAATAATGTCAATAAAAAACAGAAGACTAATAGCCGTAGTGCTACACCGAATTCCAATCAAATTGGTGGTTCCGAAAAGACTTACAATAATAAAAAGAAACAACTACAACAACAGCAGCAGCAACAAGCAGCTAGTGCTGCCGCTATAACAGCGGGAGCATTAAATCTATCAGGTATAGATGGTTATAATAAAATGGTCAATGCAATAAGGGATTTTGGAGAGGTAAGATTTGTCTTTTGTTTTCATATTTTTTTTCGATGGAAAAATTCGTTACTAAATTCCATTTGTATAGACACCTTTTTTCTCACCAGCTGAAAACTGAAAATTTTTGTACCCGCCAACGTCGAAATTTTTATCAGAGACACCACAAACTATATATATATATATATTCTTGATCAGAATAAAATTCTATGTCGATTAACTCATGTCCGTCTGTAGAAATCACGAAAGGGATCCCAAGATTTAAGATAGAGCTCTAAAATATTGTACAGGCATTGCTAGTACTCCTAGGATGTTTGGTATTGCAAATGGTATATGTGGGCCCATGTTTTGTTGTGGCCTCCAAATAACGGTACCGCCAAATATTCGAGTTTTTGACGATTTCCGACACGGTCTTCAACCAAATTGACTGTAATTTGGTATTATGGTTTCTCATCCGCATTAAAAATATTGACCCAAGTTTCAGGGTTCCCACCCCCCATTATTTGGTATTTAGGGGAGTTTTTTTCAACCGAATTATATCCGTACAAAAATTATTAATGTTGATATGATTTTCCAAAAATTCCTCAATTCTACACTCTAACAGAAATTTCGGGATCTTGTACTCTAACAGTAATTTTAATTCCGAAATTATGAAGTACATCGCTCCCTTCATACATAATAAGTTGTACCAAATATAGTTCCATTTAGTACACATCAGTACTATACTTCCATATCTCAATTTTACACTCCAACAGTAAACCATTTTCAACAACAGTAATCTAAATTTTGTACCACACACAAAATTTCTAAAGCTACCTAAATCATATACTCCAATAGTAATACGGAATCTTATTTTCAGGATTCCATCTCATCTATCCGTTCACTCAAAATCTAAATTGTACTAAAATTAGTACAATTTAGTTCTTTTCTTACAGATTACTACGATTTTTAAAGCTATCTAAATTCTATACACCTATAGCAATCCTAATTCCTATTTTCACGATTCCATTTCAACTAAATGCAGATTGTTCCCAATTTAGTACCTTTCATACACATAAGTACGAACTTCGAAAACAATTTTTATATCTCAGCACCACTTCTCAACCTGTATTCCATACCACTTTCTAGCTCATCTCGTTTGCCAAATACAAAGTGTACCATATTTAGTACATTTTAGTACTTCTTTAGTTCTAGTTCCTACACATCAACAACAACCCACACACAAAATTTCCAGCTTCTACCCACATTCCAGCTCTCCCCGATTCTCTAATACAAAGGATACCCTATTTAGTACATTTTAGTACTATTCGTACCTTTCTTCTAGTTCCTACACATCAACAACAGCCCACACACAAAATTTCTAGCTTCAGTCGTTTCGTCTGGACGATGATCTGTCAGTCACTCACTTACTTATCACTAAGCTCTTTTATATATTAAGATTTCCTGTCAAATCTCACTAACAAAAATATCATTGTTCATTGTCTTCGCTTGTCTCTAGAAAAAATATTTCAGTTCCTTAAATATCAAAACTAATTCTCCTATTCTCATTTTGTAGCATCTACAACTGCAGCCATTACTATCAGCATCCGCGGCAGCAGCAGCAAATCAACAACAACAATCACGACCATCAACATCTTCTTCACCAATGCCACAGAATATGCCACATCAATGACCCAAAACACCGTTGAGGAATCACACACCATCGTCGTCGTCGCCCAATCCACTGAATTTCATTGGTACACCACCACCAACATTACCTATGTCAACGAGCAGTACCAGTGTGACAACATCTACGGCATTTTACACTCACGAACAAACTGTTGCAGCGGCCTTAGTATTATCCTCATTGTGTGGTAATACCTCAACGATAACAACAACAAACACCACCGGTAATAAAATACCCTCACTGCCAGGCATCGTTACATCATCAGCAGCTGCAAGTGGGATTGCATTTCCAACAGTTGCAGCATCATCATTGTCGACGGCAGCAGGTTCAAGGACAACAACAACTACCACACCACTACCGTTATGCAAGGATAATTTGAATTTTAGTAATTTATCAACACTGCCTTTATTTCTAACACCTCAACCGCCATCCAGTATGAACAATAACAACAACAACAATAATCCATTACTTGGTGTAAATATAAAATCATCACTATTGCAAGCCTCATCCTTGTCCTCCTCCCTACCACCTGGATTTTTAGCACAGAATCCATTCCTATTACCCTCACTTACCAACACCACCACAAGCACACCAACATCAGCATCGTCGTCGTCATCTACAAATGAATCATCACTTAAATACGAACGTAATATAAGATCAGCATCATCCTCTTCGTCCTCCTCATCCGGAAGTCGTCGTCAATCACACCACCACCAACACATAAAGAAATAATACATTGTTCACATCGATTGTTATTATGTGACCATGTTTTTTTTTTTAATTCACCAGTGTAAAGTATGTTTTTTTCTCATATTTTGTTATAATCGTTTTTGTGTCGTCAGTCTATCGATTTTCACATATTAAGTAATTCTCATCTCAAAATTAGAAAAAAGAAGAAGAAACTTAAAAAAACTGTATGTTGTTTATTTAAGAAAACGTAAACGTAATTTATAATTTTTTCTAAAAAACAAAAATAAACAAACAAAAATATATTAAATATTAAGTACAAGTTTTGTTGTTATTGTTTTCATTTTATCAGGAAGGATTTATATGGTCGTCAAGTATATGTTGAGTAGACCCTTTTTTTGCTGTTTATTTTTTTATAGAAAACAAATCTGTACTCACTGAAATAGCTATACGCTTCACAATAAGTGACATCGAAATATTTGTTGTAGACCGGTTATATATTCTCAATCTGAGTAATTGTATGTCTGTTGAAATCACCATAAATTTATGATAGAGATCGGAGGAAATGACCGAGTGCCTATGATCCTTGAGCTGACGAGGCGAGAATGGCGCCCTCAAATAACCATCTCAAAGGTCTGGGTCACTACCTCTTAAAGTGACCCCCTAACGCTGGGGTGTCATGCGACCTCGTGACCATCAGCGATCTATGGTTTGCAGTCAGGGTACCGACTGTATTAAAAGGGAGCCTTGTTGATACAAGTTTATTCAGGCTTAGTTGTCAAGTCCTTGCCATGGTAAGAGACCGAATTTTAATAACCAGTAGGGGGACACTTCTAAAAACAAAAACAACATGGTATGCAATGTTTCGACTGATGCTGCCTTGGCATCCTCAGTCTCGAACTCTACAAGGTCAGACTTCAATGAACCCCCACAAATGTTGACGACCCTAGCTAATACCTTGGACATCTCTTTTGCCTCCAATTCTGTTACTCTCGACGACGTGAACGAAAGCCTGGAGAGACAGATTCGTATCTGGTAGGGTAGGGATATACGGAGGAGGTTTTGAAAGTGTGTTTAGTACTTGTATACGAAAAGTACTAAACCGTACTAAATTTTAATTTAGAGGAACGGATGGAGCCGGAATACAGAAATTTAAAATTAACAATACCGTCGGAGTGTAGCATTGGGATATGTAGGTAGTTTTGAAAATGTTTACGAAAAAGTACTAAATGGCGCTAACTTTGGTACCCTTTAAATTTTAGAGTTGGAACACTGAAATTGGGGAAAAATACTATTGGTTGTATGTTATAGTCAGTTTTGGAAATTTGTACTGATTTTTACTAAATGGTACTATTTGAATTTTGGGTGAACCGATAGAGCTAAAATCCTGAAATTTTGAATTAGGATCACTGTTGGGGTGTAGGATTGGTTAATGGTAATTCGTATTGATTTGTACTAAATGTAACTATTTGCATTTTGAATGAACTGATATAGCTAGAATCCTGAAATGTGGAATTAGGATCACGTTTGGGGTGTAGGATTGGGATATGTAGAAAGTTTTGGAAATACGTACTAAATTTGGATTTGGGTGAACCAATAAGGCTGTTGTATGATATAGATAGCTATAGAAATTTTACTTATTTGTACTAAATTGTACTAAAGCTAATATAATTTAGGGAAACAATTCATATTCAAATTTATTGTTATAGTTATAGTTGATTTACGCATATTTTCTCACTCAAATAATGCTTTTCGCTTTGTGTACTTATCAAGTCACATGAATTCTGTTGTTCTAATAAATAAATTGTTATAAAAAAAAATGAAGTAATTGATGCTTTGGGAATTGTGGGGCTTATATATATTTATTTTAGTAACACCTATAATGTAAATAAAGGCTGGGAGCCAATTCAATTCAATAAGAATTAAGATTTTAGTATTAAAATTCAGGGTATGTTTTGCAATGTAATATATTATGTTTGGCCATGAAGGCTTTGTATTACAATATGAATAAATTAATAAAATAAAAAATAAATAAATTGTACTAATTTTGTCTTCATTGTGAAGTTTTATCTTCAGCCCACAAAAACCTCATTGAGGAAATTGTTTCCATAGAAAAAAATATACCTTATAAAAAATAAATGTTGAGGATTTTTTTTTTCTACTGAAGACATTTATTCCGTAAAAAAATAGTTCAAATTTTTTGTTCCTAGAGACATTGCTGAGCATGTTTTCTATAGAATGAAATCAGAAATCAAAATTATACAAACAAATGAACCCACGCTGTCTTCGTAAATTGAATTTAATAGACCCCATTGAAAAAATCGAAGAAATTTCTTCTATAGGAAATAACTATGACTTCATTGAGAGAGAAAATATTTAATCCTCGCGGATTTTTTTTCCATTCCAAAAATTAATCTTTCTACAAAAAATTCAGTCACTGTTGATAATTGTACCGGATTTTTTAAATCCAGAAGATCTCTATTGTCAATTTCATTACATATATGTCAAGGTTAACATAGCAAAATGTTATTTCTAATCAATCCTCAGGGTGAATGTGAGGACTTCATTCTATAGAAAAAAATGTGTCCTCAGTGACGTACTGAGAGAAACTGTTTTCTGCAGAAAAATTACTGAAAACATGTGTTTTACCTTCCTTTCCAGAAATAAATAAGAAAACAATTTTAGAAAATATTATTTCTTTATTTTAATTAAAAATTAGAAATTCTTTTATATGACTTTTTATAATTAATCATTGTTCTCCAAAGAAATGGGTGATGTAATTTGTAACATTCGGCTATTTTATAATTTTGGTAAGGATTTTATTTCTATAAATAAAAAAATTGTTTCACACTATATTCGTCTTAAAAACAAATAAAATATTTTTTGTGGGTTTCTTTAAATCAACAACAATTTTGCAGGTTAAGGTGAATTTTTTGCAGGTGAGTGTAAATAACCGGCTACTACAGCTACTACGAGAGGGAGGAAAATGGAGGTGAGGTTTTCAATACATTTACAATTTATGTTTAGGTTCGTTTTTGTTTATTCTGTAAAATATGTTAAAATTTGCTTTTATTTTTATTATTATTGGTTTTATATATATTTACAGGAATTAAAGAACTCAATTGTTTATGCCTTCTGTGTGTAAATGGTTCTTAACCTTTATGATAATTGTTTATTAGATCATATATGTATGCCCGTATGTGTGTGGTGTAATAGCAAAACAATTTAGGAAATTTGAATACACATATAAGAGCAGTTAAAATTAAAACTAAATTGGAGCAATTTATTTTACAAAATTATATAGTACATAATATTTATATTTTTATATTACTACGATGTTGAGTTTTGTTCTGTTTTAAAGGACTGTTTTTTCGTATTTATACAACAACAGTCAAGCTAAATGTGGAATTGTTTTATTTACTTTTATTAAATATAAACAAAATAAATTACAAAAATAAAAAAAAATACGATATAATTATGAATGATTGCGTTTCATTTTATTTATATACCACTTTTTGTTTTTGTTGTTTTTTTATAAGCCGCACACAAAAACAAAAATGCATCACAGTCCATTTAAACAAAAAATAAAAATCTTTTTTTTCTAATTATTTGCAAGTATAGAGAATACAACTCAAAACTAAAAAGCTTAACGAAAAGCTAAAAAAGTTGTTTCTTCTAAAAAAAATCTACTTCATCCAACGAAATATAGAAGTTATACGATTGGCTGCCGATGTCATAAGACCCTCGGCAATGGTGGATTGTTGTTGGTGTTGTTGGCCCGAGGCTGGTGTTATTAAATTGGTATTAATAATATCATGTTGTGTGGGCAAATTAGGTACATCTTCCCAATCCAAACGGAATGAGTTTTCATCTGAGAAAGAAAGAACGAAATAGAAAATTAGTTTTTTTTTCTTTTCAAATCCCATTAATTTCTACATGTAATTCTATTTGTTGATGTAATTCCTTTTTTGAACTTCAAACACCTACCTTCCGATTCAGATTCCGTGGCGGTCTCTATCAGCAATAGTAACGAGTCAACTGATTTCATAAGCGGTGCATTACCGACCTCTTGAAACCCATGACGGCCTAAATCACTTTTTTCCGGATCCAATAATATTAGCAAATTTTCCAATGTATGATTTTCGTTAAGGGAACGTAATTTAACCTGCTGCGTATATGCCAGATACATAATGTTCGAGTTGAGACGGGATACTTTACGTAGGAATTGTTCTTCATTGAGTTTTCGACAAAAATCACTGAAAAAAATAAAATTAATTTAATAAATTATTTTCAGTTACTGTGTAATGAGATCCTAACTCACCCATATGCCACCTTGTATGGCAGACGCACATTCAAATAGTAACAAATCAATTGTGTCAACTGAGCCGTGTATGTCAATGCGCCCACAATGCGAAAAGCACTAACCCGACTGGGTGCAATTTCATTTGCCGTTGTCTTTGGTACATCATCTTTGTTATCCTTTAACCAATCCAGATAGGCCGAATAATCCCCATTCGCTGGCAAAGACGGAGCCACAATACGATATTGCATTTCACTAATGCCACTGCTGTGGATCACCCATTTACCACGTATGTACGAAGTATTTTTGGCATCTGCCAATGCGGCTATCGTTTCTGCATCTTCCGTGGGGGAGTTTGGTGTTTTATTTTGCAGCTGCTGATGTTGTTGTTGTTGCTGTTGTCCTCCCGCCGTAACTGTTGTCTTCTCATCTTTGAGCACAATTTCCGATATGGGAAATATATACTCAACCAATTGTCGTATACCACGTCGTGTAACATCTTTTAGTGTATCCAACAGTGTATTGTGACGTTCCCGCAAACTATCTATCTTCTCTATACGATCCAGTACATAATCTTCGAGTTCTTTAACTTTTATTGGATATTTTGGCAATGTTTTCTTTTTATCGGAATTAGCTTTAGATAATTCATTACGTTTCTCTTGCAGGGCAAGCAATGTGGATTTTTTATTAGCTATTAGATGTTGCAACAGTTGGACTTGCTCTTGATGCCTTTTAATTTCAAAACGTATATTTTCACTTGTTCGCTTTTCTTTTATTAGCTTTTCATATTGTTGACCAAATTCGTTCAGTTTTGCTTTGACCTTAAGAAATTGTTGTTGTTTTTCAGATAAACTAAATGTAAAAGATATGGAAAAAATAAATGGATAATAGGTAAATATTTTGTATCTATGTTGTAATATCCTCGGAAACATTAGTACGACCAAAGAAGAAACCCAATGCTTTAAAATGTTTGAAGAGTAACCAAAATGGGTAATTTAAAAGGTTCAAGGTCCTGAAAGGCTAAATTTCTAGCATAACATCAAGGTGGAAGCGAAAATAAAGAGAACGGTGGGCTTTGCGACCAGAAACGACCCGAGCCTTAGGACCTACGAAAAGGCTATAAAAATTGTTTAAAAATCCACGCCTTAGGGCCTACCAAAAGGATAAAAAAAAATTGTTTAAAAATCCACGCCTTAGGGCCTACCAAAAGGATAAAAAAAATTGTTTAAAAATCCACGCCTTAGGGCCTACCAAAAGGATAAAAAAAAATTGTTTAAAAATCCACGCCTTAGGGAATACCAAAAGGATAAAAAAAATGTTTAAAAATCCACGCCTTAGGGCCTACCAAAAGGATAAAAAAAAATTGTTTAAAAACCTACGCCTTAGGGCCTACCAAAAGGATAAAAAAAATTGTTTAAAAATCCACGCCTTAGGGCCTACCAAAAGGATAACAAATTGGTTAAAAAATCCACGCCTTTGGGCCTACCAAAAGGATAACAAAATTGTTTAAAAAATCCACGCCTTAGGGCCTACCAAAAGGATAAAAAAATGTTTTTAAAAATCCACGCCTTTGGGCCTACCAAAAGGATAACAAAATTGTTTAAAAAATCCACGCCTTAGGGCCTACCAAAAGGCTATTAAAAAAATCCACGCCTTAGGGCCTACCTGTTTATTTTTCCTATTTTTTTAAACGCTTCGTCCAGGGATTTAAGATTTTTTCCTTTGGGAAAATTGGACAACGCTAATATAAGTTTCTTTTAATTTCATTTTTTTATTATGTAGCCTGCCTTCTGCCGGGAATTTAATACTTTCTCTTATGCCGCCCTTGTGATGCCTAGCAATTTGAGTGAGATTCTATCATCCTCCTTTCCATCCAGATTTCTTCCCTATTTCAAAGTCAGTGGTGTCTCTAAACCAAAACAAGCCAAATCGGACTCACTTATTGTCCCGACTTATTGGACAACATAAAACCCACATTGTACAAGGGAAATCGTAAATAATTTCAACTACAAAGTTTGAACCTTTTGCATACACTATTGTATGCTTTGTATACATCATGCATCTTCAGTTATAATAGGGGAATCCCGAGATAATCTGATTATGAAGTAACTATTTGGACGTCATTTATTTTCTTTATTTGGGGGCTATATATACTACTAATCGATTATAAAAACAAAATCTACTGCTCTATTTATACACAATTCGGGAATATTTAATTTATTTTCCCAAACTCCATGTGAAATGGTGTAAAATCGTGTCTTCCCGTTCCGTCCCGTCTCACCACCTTATCTTAACTATCTAATAATTTTCATATAAATATTGTCGGAAATCCCTTAATTTAAACAATTACTCACCATTCCCCATGCGGTTGTCCCTTACGCGTTATGTACCCAGACTTCACACAATCACGGCAGTGAAATCGATGTTGTTGTGTTAGACAAAGGAAACATTTCAGCGATGGAGCTGCATCTAAACTGACATCACCATGACCATTGCCACCAGCAGTTTTGCGTGTAACCTTTAGTCGATTCTTTTTCAGGAATTTGCCATTCAACTCTAAAATCTCGTCATCTTCATCATTGGATGTGCTGGATACTTGAAAGTTTTCTGGTGCTTTGGAACTTTCGTCACTACTACTTGAAGCCATAACATAATTGTCGTCTTCCTATGTGATGTTTATAAAATGTTCCTATTTACGATTTTTATTCTAAATTGTTGATATTGATTTATTTGTTGTTGTATTGATTTAATTATTTGTAAATATTTGATGTGTGCAAAAAAACTGTATGTTATTGTATTAAAAAAGAAATAAATATATACGTATTTGACTGGTCTAATAAAGAAAACAACAAATATGACAGATATGTAAATATGTATAAGGCCATCAATTGAAATCAGCTGTTTGCAGCTGTCAAGTTTATTTTGGCGAATTGTACACTGTTGTATTTTGAATTCGCCGTATGAAAAAAGCGGTTAATTGTTGTGTTCGCATAAAAAAATTTTAAATTTTTAAAGAGAAAAATTGCAAATATTTTGTCTTTGTATTTTTGTAGATTTTGGCAGGCAGGTCAAGTTCTATGATGGGTTATATCGGTCCACATTTTGGCATAGCTCCCATATAAAGGTACCGCCCAAACATTCGCTGAAATTGGGTACATTGGTTTTTTATTGGGTACCAAATATCTCCACAAAAAATTATAAATATAGGTACACATTTTCTGGTAGCCCCCATATAACGGTACCTCCCAATTTTCAGTTTTTGGGGGGTTTTATCCACATTTTTCGTCTGAATACGCTGTAATTTAGTATTATGAGTTGTTATTGGGTAGCAAAAATCTTCACAATAAATTATAAATGTAGGTCCATTTTTCCGGTTGCCACTATATACGGGTATTTTGGAGGGTTCTAAGCGCGTTTTTAAACCGAATTTGATGAAATTTGGTACAATGGGTTCTTATTGCATACCAAATGTCTCCACTTCAAATTATAAATATCGGTCCACGAATTCGCTGTAATTTGGTATTTTGTAGTCGCATATGGTAACAAATCTTTCTACAAAAAATTATCAATATTCACCGCCTTTTAGGGGTAGTTCCCATATAAATCCCTTCTTATATTAAAATATTAGTTCCGTTCCGGGTTATCGTTACTCGGAATAGTCAGTTTTAGCCTACAAATTATGTAATTCTAAGCCGATTTAGCCATCGGAAATTGTGATAAAAGAACTCAAACCTGACGATAATGAAATATATCGGCCAGCATTTCATACCTCCTAAATTAACGAATTGAGGCACAAAACAAAAATATTGGGTTCGAAATTGACATATGTTGGTTATTAATTATGCATAGCCCTCATATAATTATAACCTCAAATATTCGCTAATTCCAATTTTATTTTCTATACTCAACATACTCCGTAAATGGATTCAGAACCTGGTTGATGTAAACACAATTTATAAACTACCTCACTAACAACCAGCTAATTGCGTTACCCATCAAGTGATGGACGCTATAAATGTATTAAATCTCTAATCCCAAAAAATAAATTAAAAATTTAACATTTAAGTATTTATTAAAGAAAACAAACACACACACATATTTTAGTTAGTAATTATTTTAATGTTAATAGTATTTATACCAAAATTAAGTTTATTATCAATCCGTTGTAATGCTGCAACGCTAGCATCATTGATTAGTAAAAAATAACAATTTTCTTTGGTATTTTTAAGATTTTCAACATTATTCACTTGCCAATCCGTGATTGGAATTGTGGGATTATGTAGTTGTAGATAATGTAAAAGTTGTTCGTTGCTAAGTGTGTAGGTGTTTGGTAAAGAAATTCGTGCACATGGTCGTTTTGGAATATCACGAATGGGAACAAGTTGCAATTGCAGATCCATCCAAGAGTTACTTATTTCATGGAGAAATTTCTGTAGTAATTGTTTAGAAAAAAAGTCTTTACATTTAATTAAATGGTAGCCTTGAAAGTGTTCTGATGAATCATAGCAGGGTAATGGGTGTTTGATTTTGTGATCTTGTGTTGAAATATAATTGATTACCATATTCGATAGTTGATGTTCAATTTCAGGCCATAGTTTGTTGACCATTGGAGTTTGGGTAAAATTTTTGTTTACCAAACACAAAGAGAGTTCGGGAGTTGATTCTTTAGCTTTTTCATTGTCTCGTTTGGGAAATCGTTTATTCTGAATATAATTTTCATATTCTTCAATGATTTTTTTAAACTCCCATTCACTGCTGATATCTTGTCTTGTTAGTTTACCCGTTTTCTTATTTTGTTCGATTTTTCCAAGTATAAAACATGCCTGTCGATATTTCCGTTTCAGCGATTTAAATTTGAGGGGTTTTTCAAAATGCATTTCGGAGAAAATAATTTGTTTTTTTGATTTTTCTAAATTTGATTTCATCTGGTTCTTACGATTACATTTCCGCCAAAGAAAATAAATGGTAGATTTGTAATCTATATTTTAATAGGGGCTTTAGCGAAGGTCGACCACAGCTTGCCCATACTGTGGCAAGGCACTTGTTTACAATCTGATTTGGCCTGGTCTCAGAAAGGCTCCGTTCTAAGACAGCCGGTTTAACCCCTGGCTGCCAACCATCCAATGGACACGGTTCGCATAACATCCTGGATTAGGGGTGTAGAGTTTAGATATTTTCTAATTACACAAGACAGACACACACACATAAAACGCACACTCTGGTCATCTCTGGCTGCAAGAAAACAAATATATATTTTACTACCAATTCTTTGATTAAAAATAAAAATAATGGTTTTATTTTTTTGTTAGATTTTTATTAAAGCCCCCTTTGTTTCTTTATAATACAATATACATATATATTTTTTAAATTTAAAAATAAGGAAAACAAACTTGGTTTGAATTCAAAAAGCCAATAACAATAACATTTCTTTTTGTATATGAATGCAGCATTCAAGATTCAATCTTTTGGAGATCTTGCAGAGTTCTAGGTTATTTCAATATCAATTTACACTTTATATATAATTATCTTTTATACTTCTTCTTCTTGTTGTATTGCTGCCTATCCTCCAAAAAAATAAGCAAAACAAAATTCAACAAAATAATTTTAATCGATTTTCTTTGCTTCGGTTAGTTTTTGTTGTTTAATTTAATATTAATAAGCAACAATAAAATAAATACATACACATTTAATCCAAAAAAGGGTCTTTTGTTTTTGTTGTTGTTCTTGTTTGTCAATGATTTTTAGAGATTTTTTTTCTTGTTTGTTTGACTAATTAATTGTTACACTTTTGCTAATAATGGCGGTGATCTTTTTTTCTTTCATTACTTAATATCTTTTGTTTAGTTTTTGTTTTCATAGAATCGAGTACGAAAGTAGAGTAAAACGTTGGTATTTGTTGTTGTTTGTTCTTAAAACAAATCTGCTGGGAGACAGAGTTGGCTGGACTTTTACTTTTTGCCTCCTAAAACTTTGTGAACAGCCTCGACAACATCCTTGGCTTGTGGCAGTGCATGTGTTTCTAATGTCTTGGCATATGGCATGGGTACATCGACACCGCAGACACGCCAAACGGGAGCATCCAAATGGAAGAAGGTTTCATCCTCCATGACACGGGCACAGATTTCAGCACCAATACCTGGAAATAAAAAAACAAACAAATATCAAGCAAAATGAAAAAAAAACTTGACTCCTAATCTCCAAGTCGATCAGTCTTTCGAGAGTCTTGTGGAGAAAGAATGATAGGCTATTGGGTATATAGGCTATGGTCTATAGTCCTTGTAAGTAACCTTTACATCGTGCCATAGACCCGGCACACACGACAGAGTCAAACACGCCGTATAGATCTTCTCTCGGATCAGATATATACTTGGCGAGTCAAATTGAAGCATTGCCGGTGTTATACCATGTGGATTTATATAGTTTGAAAGTGTTGACTGCCCAGCGTATCTTATTTCTGCTAATCACCTTGCCAATGAGACCCAAATCTACAGCCGCAAGAGGTTGAATATCATCACACTCAATGTTGATGGTATTGATATATTTGCAACCTGGGAAATGGGTTTCTACTAAGAGGTTAAAAGTGTCATAACCTGAGTCCGTCCACGTGTCATCTTGTTTCTTGATTCTTCCCATGGTTTTTGGGTCCTTGGATAGTTATTTTCGAAATCTAACAGCGTCGTTGGCTCCTTCTATCGACTCGCATAAGTTCCAGTCAATATCGAATGTTGACTCATGGTTATTTTTCTGAGCTCGACGAGATCCCTGTTACACCACACTAGCTGATATTTCTTCCCAGGGTATGTTTGTCTTATTATTTATTTTAAATAAAATCCAAAAACTTACCGCTTTGTGGCCAGCCTTGTTCTACTGTAACTAAATGATGTGTCTTTTTAACGGAATTAAAGATGGTTTCAACATCCAATGGACGAATTGAACGCAAGTTAATAACTTCGGCATCAATACCTGAAAAAAAGTAAAAAAATCATTATTCATAACATTTTCAAAATCTCTTTTTTGTAAATCCCCTTTACCTTTCTTGGCCAATTCGGCAGCGCCCAAAAGACACGTTTCTACCGCACGGGAATGGGCAACAAGTGTAACATGTTTACCAGGCCTTTGGATTTTAGCCTTACCAATGGGCACAACAAAATCTTTGTCCAAGACTTTTGGATCAACGGCATACGATGTGCCGTATACAACTTCATTTTCCAAAAATACAACTGGATCGGGATCACGAATGGCGGCCTTAAGTAGGCCACGGGCATCTTCAGAATCATAAGGAGACAATACTTTGAGGCCAGGACAGTGGGCATACCAGGCGGCAAAACATTGTGAATGTTGGGCGGCAACACCAACAGCAGCACCATTGGGACCACGGAATACAATTGGTACATTAACCATACCGGCAGACATATAGAATGTTTTGGCAGCTGAATTGATAACCTTAAATTTTGGTGGGAGGGGGGAAAAGAATTTTGTAATTATTGGTAAGACCTTTTCATTGATCTCTCTATATATATAAAAGGCCGCCATCGATCAAGATTTTAGGAAATACCAACATTTTTTTTTAGTTTTTGAAAGTACAAAATTCACTGAATTTTGTAATATGATTAAAAGTTTTATTTTACTTAACAAGCACTCTTACAACTAAAATAGGGGAAAAAAACAATTTATGTAGATGTTTTTTGTTTCTTCTTCTATTTAATACCCAATTTCTCTTTGATAATAAAGGCTGGCAAACGACGTCCCTTCCAGTGACGTGGCAATGGTGTTTCCTTGGCTTGTTGTATTTTATCGGCCACAAATTTGGCAGCATTAAATGCCTCCGCATCCTTTATCTGGGCAATTAGCTTGGCTTGGAATGCTTTCTCTTTGCGCATTTCACGACGTTGTCTAACCTTAGCCCATTCGAATTTCATCTTGCGACGCAATTTCTTCAACTTGTGTTTCTTCATTTTACGCCGTCTAATTACAATCATGCGTGCCGCTTCCATTTTATCGGTTTTCGAATCTGTGGGTGCTCTAATTTCATTCGATTCATTGACAACATCACCGATTTCATCCAACCACTTGCCCTTAGTGGGATCACCAATTTGTGGTCGTTTGGGTAAGTAATCGCCCAGTGGTATGCGATTCAATTGTGGCTGTACCACGGCATATATTGGTATGGTAGACGGATTTAAATGTGAACTGAAGCCACCTTGAGTGTGCATTTGACGCATTAGCATGGGCCTTGATACATTCGATTTCAATAGGGATGCCTGTTTTTATATAATTGGATAATATGGGTCATTTTTTAGAAAAAATAGAATTTTGAAAAATATTTTTTTTTTATTGTTTGGATGATCTCTAAGAGTTGTTTTATTTATGTGTTTAAAATATTGAAGATTTTAAACCATATCGGAAGTAAATATCAACTCTTTTTTTATGAAAAGATAATTGTATTATTAACCCATATTATCCCATTACTTTGTAAACATTATACAGTTCTTAAACAAATTTTGATGAAATGTAAAAAAAAGAGAGGGGGGGTTATTTGTTGGCATTTCCCGTTCTTGATGAATTACGATGCCTTTTTCTGGTGCAATCAATTATTTTACTTAAAAGATTTTGAGATAATATGAGTTAAAGTTAATATTAAAAATGTAAAATGTATGATAGAGTTATTAGATACAAAATAAGGGGGAATGATTTTACTTAAAGAAACAAACAATACAAATAAAATCATAAAACAATAATATAAATAGTTGGATTATGTCCCTGAATCCTCCAGAGATATTTTTACTTTTCTAGACCAATGTTTAGGCTATGAAACTAATGAGTAATGACAATATTACCAAAAAGGTCTTCAGAATTTGATTCTTTAAAATATCTCGAAATTATGGAAAAAACTACTCAGTCTAGTGTGTAGAGAAAACTAGAAGCTAACCGGGCCTATGTAATTCTGCATCCACAGTCTCAAAGTAGTTAAAAAGGGGGAAACGTCGTGTATCTTTTCATCGACAATCATCTTCAGGGATCTGTTACAAAATACATAATTAGATGCAAATTGATAAAATTAAAAAAAAAATATACATAGATTTTATTGTATAGGAAAAGGTCTACTTTAATTTAACGCCAAACTTTGCACAGTGGTCTGTGTCAGTTTTACAATTTATTCTTCTTTTTCGATCGGTACTTTTATGATGTGTAACATTTCTAATGTGAATCGCCTTCTGTAATTATTTTCTTGTGCTTCAATGTTAAAAGTCTTTGAGGTTTGGTTTGTGATCAATAAATGTGCAAAAAAATGCTAGCGATGTCTTTTGTTCTAGTGGCTTGTCAGATTTTTGATCGGATTTATGTCCGGAAAGTCCAGTTGTTTTTGTCGTGTCATACCTTTTGAAATGCATCATATTCGTTATCGTAATATGCTATCCTATAAACTACATTGCACTTATCCTCTTCTTAGTCTTTATTTTTGTTTTACTAAATATATTATTGACACTGTTGATGATAAAGCTAATTCGTATTTGTCCTTATTGCACACTTGATATCTGGAAAATCTCTTCGAAAATCCAGGGATTTAAGTAAAAGATTTATAAGAAAATCTACCATTGACCAGATTTTCACTCTGGGTCAAATCCTGGAAAAAAACCCACGAAAAACACATAGACACATTTGTCGATAAAGCCGCATTCACAGCCCAATCCGTTTATGTCTGCGTTCGGCATTCCTTCAAAATTAATACGGATATGCAGGATAACTTTAAGTGGGACAAGGTCAGCAGTTATTGTCGGAAAGAACATATCGGAGCCCTTCAATACCGAACGAGGATTCAAAAAGGTCATACGAGAGGCAAAGGTGAACAGAAATTACACTCTGTACACAAAACAACACGTGCTACTCGCCTACGCAGATGACATCGATATAATAAGTCGAACATTGCGAGCGGTAACAGCCACCTTTGAATAAATTGGGAAGGAGTCTGCCAAAGTAGGACTGGCAGAAAACGGCGAGAAGACAAAGCATATGTTATCAACGCGCAAGACGTCCAGAAATCTTACCAACTGTGGAACTTGAAAACTACAGCTTCGAGGTAGTAGTAGATTTTATATACCTCGGAACAGCCATAAATTAAACTATTGATATGAGTTTTGAAATTCGGAGAAGGATTGTGTTAGCGAACTGATGCTGCTATGTTCTGAGTAAGCAATTCAGAAACAAGGGGAAGGCCACCAATTCGATGGAAAGATCTAGTAGAAGACAACATCTCGGAATATGGTCTTTCAAATTGGATTAGCTACGCATAAGACGGACGAGCTTGGAAATCTTTTTTAAGCTCGGTTTATGGTACAACCGTTCTTTCACAAGCCAGCTAAGTAAGTAAGTAGGTATACAATTTGTTGCCGTATGATTAGATTTAAAGTTTATCAGTCGTTTTGGTATCAATCTAGTTTAAGGTTCTTGTCTAATTATTATTTCACCTAGATTTGTTTTGGTACCAATCTAGTTTAAGGTTCTTGTTCATCTAGATATGGCAGCTTTTTCATAAGGTTTTTTTATTGTAAGAATTTTTTATAGTAATAATTTTATGGCGCTGTAAAATCAACAAAACCATTGTTTTTAGCGAATAGTTTTCGGATCGTAGTACCTCTCCAAGAGGTGATTTCATTAACACTTCTTCCTATGGGGTCATCATAAGCACATAGCCCTGCAAAGTTTCAAAACCTGAGGCTATCGAGAAGGTTTTGGAAAATTTTATGAAAAACGACGGCACATACCTTTCTTTCTTTACTATGAAAAACATCTAATTGATTATTTAAAAAACTGATTTTTTCTTTGAATACCAAAATATCGCATCTCCATGGAAGATCCTAATTAGACACTTCGATCTAAAATCATCAAAATATTTGTTCCAAAATTGGATTAATTTGTAATTTTGATAAACTTCTCCGATTAAATTTCTCTGTTACTATTTTTTTAATAAACAAAAAAAATTAAAATAAAAAAATGGAATGATGCTTAATGACAAAAAATAAAATAAAATTGTTATAAATTCAAAAAAACTTACATGATCAATGGCTTGCATGGAAAAATTAAATGTCATAAATTCACAAACTGGACGTAGGCCAGCCATGGCAGCACCAACAGCGATACCGGCAAAACCCATTTCGGTAATTGGAGTATCAATGACACGTTTATCGCCATATTTCTTCCACAGACCGCGAGAAATCTGCAATAGAAAACAAAAACAAACAATCAAAAATTTAATTATATCAGCACGCTACAAAGTAATGTTTTATGCGTGACGCCACTATCACTTTGTTAACAACAAAATAAATGACGTCTTATTAACCGACCGACTGGCTAGATGAATGTGACCTTAAAACAAATCACACTGCATGCTTTTTATATTAACACACATACACTTAGGTTTTACTATATGGATCTGTTATCACAAATTGTCGTTGGCTGATTTTTCGCCGTTCTACATTTTTTCTCCAAAGTGTTGATATTGTGCTTTATGTGGGGCCACTACTTGTCAGCAAGCATACTTATATGAACATCGGAAAAACAACAACAACCGCAACACATTTAAATAAAAAGACAAAAAACCCATATGAATGCACTCATCAGCACTGACATATGTTTGTTTGTATGTTTTTGTACATATCCATCCTAACCCGTACACGGCGGCGCATTTTACGTAATCACTGTAAAAAAATATTTTTTCCTTCGTTCGTTGAAACTCACCTTGTAGGCACCATCATATTGGGCCACTTCCTCGCCCATGATGAAGACACGTTCATCGCGTGCCATTTCATCGTCCAAGGCACTGTTGAGGGCATCTCTCACGGTCATTTGTTGTGCCGCGGCTGCTGCCTTCGAAGTGGTGGCAAAACCACGACGAGCTAAGCCCGAGAAAATCATTTTTACTGGCTGCATCATTTTGTCTCACTTATGTCGATTCGTTGCGGATTTGGAAACTGTAAAATTACAATAAATGCCGATTAATTTCACTTAATAATTACCGAATTTTCTTCGACAGTTCTATTGTATAATTTATTTGCAATGCAGCAGAAAAAAATTCGCAAACTTTACCGTCCGTCGTTCGCATAGAGATGTCAACGATGATAGCCTGATGTTGTGTTGTTGTAGTGGTAGAATATTTTTTGACAGTTGGAAATTATCGATGTTTTTGGTTGATATCGATAATGAAATTTAGTATGAATGAAGGCGTAGCGTAAAGCGTACGGCGTAGGGGATGATAGATACAAAGCAACGGCTCTGATTGGCTTTAACATGGCGAAGCCCAGGCTTATCTTGGTCCTTTTTTAATCTCAATCAGTGTCCACTGACAACCCTGCCACAATTTGCGGATCTGCAGTTTTTTTCCAAATCCTGGAAAAGACCCACGAAAAACATAGACACATAGGGTAAACGCACCAATAGTCGGCACTTTAAGAATTTTCGCTTTTTAAACGTTTCACCATTCCGAGTTCATTTTTTCCACGATATTATATTTAGGTTCATATGATTCGAAATATTGTTTACTCCCCGATGGAATACACATTTGTTTAATTAAATTGTATTAAATTAGATTAAATTAATAATTATGTATAAAAGTGCCTTTGTGCCAATAGTCGGCACTTTTTTCCAATTGTCGGCATGTTATATTCCAATAGTCGGCATGTCGCATTTTAGTTAAACAAAAATTATATATTTAATGCATTTTTCTGCTATTTGCAATAATAAATTATTATTATGGAAGGTTTCCATCAGTGTTATATTAAAAAATATATATAAAATAATATTAATTATTAAAATATTACAATTATAAAACATGGTGCCGACTTTGGGAACCTGTTATCCAATTCTCGGCATGGCTAAATAAGGCATTTCATAGGTTAAACACATTCAAGATTTAACAATGTCTTCCATTATGTAAAACCACTCAAAACTGATTTTTTATAAATTAATCGTTATTTAGAGCACTTATTTAAAATTTTTTTTTCAATTTTGAGCCAACAAGATCGAAAAGGTGCTTATTATTCACCCATATGCCGACTATAGGAAAACCTTTAAAAATTTTGTTCCTAAGGGCGGCATCGATAAAAATATCATAATTACAAATATTTTTTAATGATTTTAAATTCTAAAGTATTCTTCTCTATGTTCTTTACAATTACCAAGAAGATCCTTGTGAAAAATATATAACTTTAATATAGTTACAAGTCTTTTGCAATTGACATGCCCACTAATTTTTTCTTAATGCCATGTTCTGACGGGCATCCGAACAACGTAGTTCGCTCTCAGAATTACGTACATGAATTAACCCGTTCATACAACACTATTCATAATTCATATCATCAGAGTTTTTTATTTCAAACTTTTTGTTTCTTGTTTTACACCAATATGTAACATATTTTAGTGAATTACATAGGGATCTAAATAGAAAAAATAATTCTCTTTCTCCTGACTATAGTATGAACCCATATCTATTTACTTTTCATTCATGTTTTCCATTTTTTCTGAAAATGTTGTTGGTTTTAAGACATTTTTATATTTTCTCAATTCAAATGTCACATACTGTTACAAATAAAAATTTGGAGAATTTTTTGTTTGAGTTGCCCCACATTTGTTTCTTGTTTTGTATGCTAATTAGAACCAAGGGAAAAGAAATGCATATTGCATTATGTAGAAAATAAAATTTACATCCTGCTGCATATATAAAAACTATACAATTTTTTACTTTTCATTCATGATTTTCAATTTTACTGAAAAAGTTTGAAAATTTCATAAATATTTTCAAACTGTCAAAATTAATTTATTTTCGATAAACACTCTCAATTGTTAGGGATGGGACAAATTTATTGGTTATTCAGAGAGTGATTCGAATTGAACAACGTACAAAAGTTGGTGTTCGCTCAGACAATTTTGTATGGGGAACTAAGTAATTCCTTCATAATAAGGGTCGAACAACGAATGAGAGAGCGAACAACGCTCGTCTGTACATGGCATAAGAAACATGATTTATCGTTAGTGTTGACAAACCTCATTGACCAAATGCCAAATTTTGACTCAATAATGCCATGTTCTGACGGTCATCCGAACAACGTAGTTCGCTCTCAGAATTACGTACATGAATTAACCCGTTCATACAACACTATTCATAATTCATGTCATCAGAGTTTTTAATTTCAAACTTTTTGTTTCTTGTTTTACACCAAAAATATAACATATTTTTGTGAATTACATAGGGATCTAAATAGAAAAAATAATTCTCTTTCTCCTGAATATAGTATGAATCCATATCTTTTTACTTTTCATTCATGTTTTCCATTTTTTCTGAAAATATTGTTGTTTTTAATACATTTTTATATTTTCTCAATTCAAATGTCACATACTGTCACATATACAAATTTGGGGAATTTTTTGTTTGAGTTGCCCCACATTTGTTTCTTGTTTTGTACGCTAATTAGAACCAAGGGAAAAGAAATGCATATTGCATTATGTAGAAAACAAAATTTACATCCTGCTGCATATATAAAAACTATACAATTTATTTCTTTTCATTCATGATTTTCAATTTTACTGAAAAAGTTTGAAAATTTCATAAATATTTTCAAACTGTCAAAATTAATTTATTTTCGATAAATACTCTCAATTGTTAGGGATGGGACAAATTTATTGGTTATTCAGAGAGTGATTCGAATTGAACAACGTACAAAAGTCGGTGTTCGCTCAGACAATTTTGTATGGGGAACTAAGTAATTACTTCATAATTAAGGGTCGAACAACGAATGAGAGAGCGAACAACGCTCGTCTGTACATGGCATAAATGTACATAGTTCGATTAAATTTTATACAAAGATAGGTTGCAGTGTTATCGAAGATTATTCGAGGTGTTTTTCATATTTAGTTATAGGATTTTTTAGTTATTTGAAGTTATATAAAAACGATGCCGACTATTGGTACATGCCGGAATTAGGTGCGTTTACCCTACCACCTATAAAACCGCATTCGACAGCCATGTCTACGTTCGACATTCCTGCAAAATTAATACGGCTATGCAATTTAACTTTAAGTGGCAAAATTTAATGTCGGAAAGGACCTATCGGAGCCCTTCAATACTGAACGAAAATTCAGACAAGGTGACCTGTTTAACATTCTGCTTGAAAAGGTCATACGAGACGCAAAAGTGAACAGAAATAGCACTCTGTACACCATTAGTACGGTCTAAGCAGTTTAGAAACATCGCCGCCTCCCGCCAGACCAAACTCACACTTTACAAAACGCTGATGCCCCAGCTCAAAAGGCATATAAAAGCGAGCCTACTGATGGTTCCCGTAGAAGGGGAAGGCCACGAATTCGATGGAAAGACCTAGTAGAAAACAACATCTTGGAACGTGGTCTTTCAAATTGGAGGAGATGCGCACAGAAATCTTGTTTAAGCTTCGTTCTGTATCAAGCCAGCTAAGTATGTAAATTCATCCATAACTATTTCCGACCTCAAAAATGTACATACAATTTTGTTCAATACTGTTCTGTTTTCTCTCTCACACACACTAATGCATTTTCATTTTGGACACCACTGCATTAAGGGCATTCTTTGCCTCATCCGATCATCTACTCCCAGTCTTCTTGTACCTTGAGCTAACTCATTTATCGTTGTGCCGAAGATTTTGAGTACGGTCCTTTGTAGAACTCCACCGGTTCTCATAAAAATCTTCAAACCGGTTAAATTTGACCTTCAAATATCCGGATACTCGATAACGCTCACCAAAAAGCCATGTTGTGCTATCGTTATCGACACAACTAATCAGCTGTTGTTTATTTACATTATGTCAGTTGGTGTTCAATCGCCAGTGTCACGGTGTTGTTTTTGTTGTTGTGTTGTGCTAAGGGTTTTTTGCTCAAGTACAAATATAGTTTTTTTTGCTCAGCCGTTTTATCGCATCGTCGTCTTTGTTGGTAATTACGTAGAGCCTTCGCGTTTTGCACAATTGGGAACATCAAACATCACTTGCGTGTACTGAGTAAACTATTACAAAATATGGAGCAGATTACTAAAGTTTGGTTAGGACCCTTGCCAGCCGATTCACCATATGTAAAACCCTTTCGTTTCTACTACGTCCAAAATGGCAAGGAGAAAAATTGGGATCTGCTAAAGGTGCACGACAGTGTGTCGATTGTTTTGTACAATACCAGCCGACAAAAGCTGATTTTCGTCAAACAATTTCGTCCTGCTGTCTTCCATGGTATTGTGACCACTGATGGTGGCAGTGTGGATAATGTTGATCTACAGAAGTATCCACCATCGTTGGGTTGTACCATGGAATTGTGTGCTGGCATTGTGGATAAAGATAAGAGCTGGAAGGAAATAGCTCGTGAAGAAATTCTGGAGGAATGCGGCTATGATGTTCCAGTGGAAAGGGTCGAAGAAGTAATGACATACAGGTAAGTGGGAGAGGGGGAAGGTTTGATGGGGTGAAATAAAATATGTTTAATTAGCACTGGTTTTTTGTGTGCCATGCGTGCTAAATGTTTTTTTCTGTAATGCATATTTACTTTGTTCTGCAGGTCTGGTGTGGGTTCCCAAGGTTCCAAGCAAACAATGTACTATTGCGAGGTCACCGATGCCGATAAGAGCACTAGCGGCGGTGGCGTTGATGACGAACTAATCGAGGTGGTTGAACTGAGTATAGATGAAGCCCGTAAAATGGTACAACAAGGCTCCGATAATAATAGCCCACCCAGTTGTTTATTGGGTGTTATGTGGTTTCTTATGAATAAGGCACCAAAAAATTAATTAGATTTCTCTGAGATTCACCCTCAAGATAACAAACTTGTATACCAAACAAACTTCTTAAACGAAACGGCAATGTCCAGAGGCAAGCACCAAATATTTGTATTATTTGTTTTATTTTTTAAATACTATACCTATAATACTTTTTCGTTTTAGTAATGATAGGAGGGTGTATGTACTTCCTATTTGAAATTCCAACACAAATGTGATCTTTAATAACATATTAATAAATATATAGAATTTAAAATACATAAATACTATATCGGACTGCAAGACGATTGCCTTAATTTGTAATTTGCTTTATTTCAGATGTTACTAAAAATAAATTTAATAATTATTCATTAGAGTGCAGTATATGTTCTAGTAACAAATCTGGTTGCGTTTAACCTTGTCCATGTTGTTATTTACATTGTAAGTGTAACATGTAGATAACATTTGTGTATATATATGGTACTATAATAATAGATCTGATAAACAGATTCGAACATTTCAAACTACTCATGAGTAAGATGTTGAAAATATATCAGACCGCAGTCATGTTAAAAACCAAATCAAAACGTCTATACAGAAATAGATACAGGCGCACAATGAAAGTAGAATATTTTCATCCACTTAGTAGAGAAAGAAAACCAAATTTGTGAAGCTTGAAAAAAATGATATGGCGTGTGAGGCGGCCATCAGGTATAATTTCATGAAGGCAGTTTGCCTTATATCTGCAGCTACTTTAAAATCGGGAGATATATGCAGTTGGCAAAATTATTGGTGATGTCTATGAAGCAGCGTTCGAAAATAAACATTATGGTACCGTTCCATAGTGTTCTGTACCGTACCAAGGTGGATAGGTACACTAAAATTACGTACTGTACCGGTACACAAACACTAAAAATATTTGTAGCGTTACTGTTCCGGAGCACAACGAAAACCTTAGCGTACCAACTGCGGTACACTAAAAAATCGTAGTGTACCGACAGCGGTACACTAAAAATCGTAGTGTACCGGCAGTGGTACACTAAAAATTCGTAGTGTACCGACTGCGGTACATTAAAAATCGTTGTGTTCCACTGGTCGGAACACTAAAATTTTTAGTGTACCACTGGTCGGAACACTAAAAATGTTAGTGTTCCACTGGTCGGAACACTAAAAATGTTAGTGTTCCACTGTTCGGAACACTAAAAATCGTAGTGTTCCACTGGTCGGAACAATACAAATCGTAGCGTTCCACTTACTTGAACTGTACTGGTAGTGTACCATACACGTCTGTTTTGTTTTTTGAGGTAAAATGAGATCAAATAATAAAAATGAATATAACTTTATTTGCAATTACAAAATGTAGGTATTTTGGCCAGTTTTTGTGACAAAATTATACAGCTTTGGATAAAATTTTCATTAATTTACTGAACGAACATGATTTTTCAAATAAAATTAGGAGATCTCCTTGTAAAATGTTAGTATGAAAATTTTTTTCTTAAAAAAATTATACCTGCATCTACGATTCATACTTTTAGGAAATTTTATCAAAAATATTCAACATTTGGTGATTGGCACACAATCAACATAATTATTACCTGCTTATTCATGAAAAGAAGTGCACAAGTTACGCGGATATGAAAAAAGTAGTTTTATGATTTTGGGATAAATATTACAAGACCACATACAGGTACCATATAAAAACCGAATTTCATATTTCCGATCAGCGCAATCGATTATAACCCAAAATGCAATTCAATGGAATTTTCAGTTATGAGTTGGCCGTCACTAGACGTCCTCTTTTAGTTACAAAATATTTATTATGTTAAACTGTTGATGTTAATATAATATTACTATTTTTTTAAATAAAATATAAACAAATACAAATATAAAAAGATATTTTATTTATTAAATTATTGAAAAGCAATAAAAATATAAATTTTATTCATACAAAAATAAAAGATGAATACATAATTTTGTTTTCCGACAAATGGAACACTATAATTTTAAGTGTTCCGCCAAGTGGATCACTACGATTTTTAGTGTTCCGCCAAATGGAACATTACGATTTTTAGTGTTCCGACCGCGGTACGCTACAATTTTTTAGTGTTCCGACCGCGGTACACTACGATTTTTAGTGCTCCGACAGCGGTACACTACGAATTTCGTTGTGCTCCGGAACAGTAACACTAAAATATTTTTTAATGTTTGTGTACCGGAACACTAACGCTAAAATTTTTTTAGTGTTTGTGTTCCTGGTACGGTACACTACGATAGTGTACCGTTTTTTTGCGAACACTGCTATGAAGACTGCCCGAAAAAAAATCTATGCTAATAAAAGAGCAAAGTGATTGACTGACTTACCTGATTAACTGATTGACTTAACGATTCATCAACGCCCAGACGAAAAGGCTGAAGCTAGAATCTTGAAATTTGGGGTGAGAGTCACTAGAATTCGGTACCGCATTTATAGATGCAGCTAGAACTATGAAATTTGGATTGAGGGCTATTTATGGAATGTAGGATAGATGTACCAAAGGGTTTTTGGACATTCGAACTATAAGTATCCGAAAAGTACTAAAATGTACTAAATTTGTTACCATTTCATAGAATGTCGAAAACTTGGAATTTGGAAGGTGAATTAAGGATGAGAAGTAGGGTCGATATAAGGAGGTGGTTTTGAAAGCGTGTACTCATGTATACGAAAAGTACTAAACTGTATTATATTTGGTACAGTTTTAATTTAGAGAAACGAATGCATATGGAATGCCCATTAAGGTTGAGAAGTAGGGTCGATATAAGGAGGTATGTATACGAAAAGTACAAAACTTTACTACATTTGGTACAATTTGAAATTAACATAACCGTCTGTGTTTATGGTTGGGATTTGGTTTTGGAATTTTTTTACTTATGTGTACGAAAAGTACTAAATCATATTATAATTGGTACGATTTGGGTGAATCGATAGTGCTGAAATCTTGAAATTTGACGTTAGGATCACGGTTGGGGTGTAGGATTGCGCTTTGTATAATGTTTTGGAAAGGGTTCGAGAAAGTTTTTAAAATTCGTATTAATGTGTACTAAATTTGGTACAATTTAAATTTTGGGTGAACCAACAGAGCTCGAAGTTAGGGTCACTGTTTGGGTGTAGGATTAGAATATGTAGAATGTTTTGGACGAATGTGTTCAAAATGGTATCAAATGTGGATTTGGGTGGACCGTAGAGCTGGAACATTGAAATTTGGAAATAAGGTTACTGTTTGAGTCAGGGACGTACGCGGGAAGGCGGCAAGGGGGGCCCGCCCCCCCCATTTGGATTTTTTCCACAGTAAATTTATGTTTGCAACAGCGAGTTTTTTCATTTTGTACTGCCGTACTAAATGGTACCATATTAGGATTTGGGTAAGCCGATATAGCTGGAACACTAAATTTTGGACATATGGTTACTGTTGCAGCGTAATTCCTATTGGATTTCTATTAATGTGTACTATATAGTACTAAATTTAAAAAATAAGATTTGGGTTAGTCTATAGAGCTCGAATCATGAAATTTGGAATTAGTTTTGGAAATAATTACTTCTAGAGTACGAAAGGTAATAAATGGTACGAAAATTTTCTAATTCTATATCCCCATTTTTTTTCTAATTTCCTACAGTAAACGGCTGCACCAGTGCCTTGTTCCTATACTAGCTTGACCATAGTTCAGCGACTTCCAGGCATCCGTTTCTCGGAGCCTCAGGGTACACCTGCAGCATGGAATTTAATCAGAGTATCCAGTGGTTGGAAATTAAAAAGGGGAAATTCGGAATCTTCCCTAGTGAAGAGCACCAATTCAGTCTTAGTGGGGTTTACACCAAGACCCTTGGCGTGTGCACAGTTGGAAAGAGTTGAGAGTGCGCCCTCCATAGTACTTTGCGAAATCTGGCCGCTTCGTTAACTCCTTCGATTGACTCACTATAGCAGACCCAAGACTCACGTTTAGTCTTCTTGATATGTTGTGCTGAAGTCAAATAGAGCTGAAGGGAATATAGCTTAACAGACGAACCGAGTATGAAGTTTAACTAATGTCGATTGAAATTATGTTATTGGTTTACTAACGATGTTACATATACATGGCCTACATTATATTTACCGCAGTCGATCGAATAGGGCCAACAATGAAATCTGTCTCCATATTTACCGATCTAGCATCTCTAAATCTTTTTGACATTTAGGACGCCTGTGAAGACACATGTACCCTCCAACTCGTTGATAGAGTCACTAGACTCAAACTCACCTATATAAATTTACCAGACATTCAGTTCCTGTATAGAGACTTGCTGTACCTACAGATACACTGGATACAGATATATATGTATCCACTTATTTATTCTGAAATTTCTCAGCTGTCAGTGATTCCATTTCATTTCTTAATTCTGATGATGATGATGTTATTTGATTCGGTGATTTGACAAAGTTCGTGTCCCCAGGTCTTCGGTTTAACAAGATAATCAATTTCTTCATTTGAATAGAATAATTTTCTATTGCGTTGGTATTTCTTTTTCTATTCGAAATACAACAACATCCAGATAAAGATATAATAAATAACAATAATTGTATAAACAACAACATCAAGAAACTTAGAAACTCCATACCAGCGATGTTGTACTCCAAATTGTGATGTTGTAAACATATGGGACAAATAAGTTGATGGAGATTTAGTTGGGTTTTTGCTGGTACAGCGTGTTGGGTTAGGTGATGTTATATCTATTAGTTGTTGTTGTTGTTTTGCATAAAATTGCACTAAAAAACAAGACAATTTTATTAGAACACGAACAGATATTTGCCAAAGAGATGATGTTGGTCTATTTGAATGGATGGTTAAGAACAAAATGATGCTGATCTATGTTCGGATGGATATTTTGTCATGGATGTGGGGGATATGTGTAAAAGTTCTGCTACTGAAGAAGTTACCCTGCCACTATTTATTACAGCATTTCGTAGAGATATCAGCAATCAAATACAAACGACAGATAGAAATAAAAGAGGATAGTTTGA